AGTGTAGCTTTACCTACAAGATAAACACATACAAGATATTGCATCTCAATGTTTGTTACTTAAAAGCAGCAGCTGTATTATAACATTTGTCCAATCAGTGCCAAATGTAGCATCTTTAAGGCGTGGCTATGGCAAGGGTGAAAGGGGATTACTACATTGTTCACTTTTGAAGTGAAACTTTTAATACATCGCTACAATTTTTTTCGTGCATCTTAAGCATGTCGCATTATATTTAATTGTTATTAAAAAAATCAGACGATACCTCGGTGGCTCAGTGGTAGAAATCTCGCCTGTTACGCGGGCAAATCCTAGCCTTGATAGGACTCACTTGCATAGTGGTTTTTTACTCTCAAGTTTCACCTTTGCCAAGTTTAGAGACAATATATTGTTACGTGTCGGGATGGGGTTCGAAATGATATGCCAGTTCACGCTTGACAGTTCTTTATTCACCACACAGTTCACACAATTACCACACAATGTTAATTACAAAACACTCACTAAACACTGTATTTCACTATACAAGTCTCTAAACAATCTCACTTGAACACTTTGGTTGCACTTTGATCGCCTTAGGATTCTCTCCGAAATAACTGTTAAAACTCAACTGTCTCTGCGCGGCGCCAATCGCGCTTACATACGCCGATCGACGCATTCTAGAAAGTACCTGTTAAATTGAGAATTAGCTAGCACCCGCGAATACGAAGTACCTACTTATACCTACGCAAGTAACATTTTTGTCTTTGTCACTAGGGATGATGACTAATTTTTATTTCTTCGTTTATCAGGTAGGTTATCAAAAAGTATTGGACGCGTATTTTTCCTTTTTTCACATAATATAAACATTGCAGAGATATATTGATTTGAAAAGTCGCATGACGTCACGTTTTGGTACAATTTTCACTTAAAAGTGACGTCACGAGCCCCTACTCCCAAACATTGACGCGCTATAACTTTGTCGTTTTTGGTTGATTGCCCAAAGAAAAAATACGTGTCCATTATTTTTTTATAATCTAACTGACGGACTAAATAGAATTTCGTTTACTTTACTCCGTCATCATGCCTATCTGCAAAATTTTCTGAGCTCCGCAACTTCGCAGTGGTCGGTCATTGGATGTGTGACCAAAAATCTTTTATATCGAGTTCCTCCGTGCTTCGGAAGGCACGTTAAGCCGTTGGTCCCGGCTGCATCTGCAATCGTTAGCACCCGCCAATCCGCACTTGGCCCGCGTGGTGATTCATGGCCCAATCTCCCTATTCCATCCATAGGGAAGGCCTGTGCCCCAGCTATGGGGACATTAATAGGCATGATGATGATGATGATGATACTTAATGATGATGATGATGATTTACATTATAATATGTATTATATAAAGTGTGCTTTGACGCAAATAAACAAATTCATTGAGAAGGAAGATATATTACCAAGTTTTCAATCGGGATTTCGCTCAAAACATAGTACATGCACAGCGTTACTGAATATAACAGATGACATTCTTTCTGTATCTGATCACGGTTTGGGTACCATAATGGTATTACTGGATTTCAGCCGTGCATTTGATTCGGTAAATTTGGAACTATTGTTGGCCAAGCTTAGGTACTTTGGATTTGGTGACGTTGCTTATAGCTGGTTTGATTCTTACTTGTCAGGTCGCTCACACATGGTACGATGTGTAAAAAATGACGGCGGGTTCGAGATATCAGATCCGATGGCTATCACAAGGGGGGTGATTCAAGGTTCCATTTCCGGTCCTACGCTGTTTGCATTATATACATCTAGTATCACTGAAGTTATTGCTAATTGTCGGTATCACCTTTATGCAGACGACACACAGCTTTATGTTCACACCAACCCTACTGTGAGCGGTGTGTCGTCGGCCATGAGTCAACTAAATAGGGATCTTCAGGCCGTCGCCGAGTGGTCTAATAGGCACTGTCTAATGCTAAACCCAACCAAAATTGTCCAAATTATTTTAGGTACTAAAAATCAAGTGGAATCTATCAAAAGTGTACAAGTAAGCGTAAGTTTAAACAATGTGCCTATACCCCGGGAAAGCTGTGTTCATGGGAAACATGGATGAAAATCTTAGGTTCGAGAATCATATTGGGCGAAAGGTTGGTCATTGTTTTGGGTCGCTCCAGACTCTGTATAAACTGAATCGATTTTTATGTACAAATGTTAAATTACAACTATGCAACTCCTTAGTTTTATCGCACCTACAATATTGTGATATTGTATTTGGTCCGTGTTTGCTTGCAAAGACTAAGCAGCAAATTCAGAGGGTACAGAATGCTTGCATGCGATTTTGCTTTCCAATAAAAAAGAGGGATCATATTACTCCCCACTTGGTGCGTAACGGGGTTCTGAATATGGGTGGAGTAAGGGATTTGAAATATGTTTGTTTTTTGTATTCCTTGCTTAAAATAAATATACCGGAATATTTGGCTAGTAAGTTAAAATGGAGGACTCGTGGTAGTAATTTGAGGGACACTGGCCTGCGTCTGTCTCTGCCTTTATTTAGAAATGCTGTTGCTAGGGGACGTTTTGTATTTGCCGCTTCGAAAATATGGAATGACTTGCCTCCTCCTTTGCGGCAAAGTCTTATAATATCCGAAAGCAGTTTTAAGCAAAGGTGTAACGGGGGTTCCTTGAACAACAACACGAGGCGACAAGTACAAAATATGATGCTGTTTAATCAGTAACGACAAAGATGAGAAAACTTTTATGAATTAATGTCATAACATAATATATCATTAAACTAAGAACCTTCAAAAATATAACGTAATAACTAAAACTAAAAAAAAAAACTGCTGTTTAATTGTTGTAGTAATTAAAACTAAATTATTGTCTCGACTTGCTGATATTGTCCTTATTAATGTGTTTTTTAGAAAATAATAATTGTGAGGTGGTGGCAGAATACCAGCGACAAGTCAAAACTTGACTGTCACATGCTGAGCCACATACCTTTTTGTTTCAATTATTTACTGTCATTCTATTTGTGTATTGTACCATTTGTATGTTGAAACAAATAAATAATTTATTATTATTATTATATCCGTTACCCTAGCATGCCATAACACAAGCCTATTACAGTGCTTACTTTGGGGCTAGGCTAATTGGTGTGAGTGTTGGAAATATTAATTTATTTAATACTGACCTATTAGTAAGGCCAAACTTGAGTTACGCATTTACAGTTGTATGTTGCAGGCTTATGTTGGAACCCTTTCTAGTGAACTGTATGTCTAATTTTTAAGTAAGTTGTTATTGACGCTCCAGTGATATTTGCATTTAAAGTGAACACTTAAGCCTTATTTTTATGTATAGCTAAAGTACTCATAAGTCAATGTTCCATAAAGGGTGCGTAAAAAAGTAACCGAATGCTCGCTTTATTTCTATTTAATTTCCCTCAAAAATTTACAGAAACTTCGTATGACAGTAAAAATGGCCTAGAGGATGATAATAAAAAGAATCTAATGAAAAAGTAGATTGGCTTTATCTCTGATAATGCTGAAAAAAACTGTTGTTAGTCCTCAATAGATCCTATTCAAAAGACTGACGATTTGAACGCGATCCAAAGTCATGGGCGATTGTAGAAAATTTCTTTTTTGCTGCCCTAGATGTCCGACTCTATATAAAGGCTCAGGTATGGTGGGGGTTACTTCACAAGATGCAAGGTAGCCCCCCTTATGATATTCTGCCACGCTCGAGTAAATCTTAAAATACCCGCTTGGACTCCCCTACAACTACTAAAAGTATCATCGACTAATCAATCAATAATGAATGACCTCGTGCAATAATATTTCATTTGTCGCTATCGAGATTTAATAATTATCATTCAATTATTTTCATTACTAATGATAATTATAGATCCAATTATTTAAAGTGCTCAAGAGAGACTGCCTAAAATAACAGGAAAAATTAAAATTAAATTCATGTGTAAGAGTTGTAGTTATTACATCATGTTTTGCACAAAATTTATTGTCTCTGTATGTTTTGATGTATGTTTAAATTGGGGCAAAGATATACTGAAAGCTAATAAAGTTTAACGATAAAAAGCAATTATCTTGTCATGTTTGGTAATTATGTTTATTTTTATTTATCGGATATTATTCATAAACTAAACATTTTATTGCTGCTTTAGCTCGTGTCAATTTTAGGGTTTCATAGTCAATAAGAAATCCTTTTAGTTTCGATCTCCACGTCTAGCCGTCTGTCCACACCATAAACCAGAGAATAGGAGGTATTAGTACCTACTAGAAAACTAATTTGGAATACCTGCTTTCAGGGCAGGTAGTTGTAGGGATGCATTAACTTTTATTCTCGCTACCCGTGTAAACCTTACTTATATCTATTTTATGAGTAAACGAATAACTTTACATCCACACGCGCGACGCAAGATGCGCCCGATAAATAATGTCGTAGTAATCTATTTAATTAGCCAGTGCGTGTTTCGACTAGTCTCAGTGTAGAGCGCGAAGATGGAGATATTGAAGAAATAATAGCGATGTAATAAAGCATTAAAAGAAGATGAAAGAAAAAAAATCGGGTATATACATCCATTATACATATTAAGATTATGTATTGGGACGTGTCAAATGCACACATCAAAAAAGTCTAAACAACACGCATCGTTTACAGAAACTATGTATTTTATTAATTGAAGTTCAAACGATCTTCACAAAGTAGATTGGTATAATATACTGTTTTTTTTTCTCGAAAATATAGTTGGCTGATTTTAAGAAACTTTCCGATTGTTTTATAAAGGTAGGTATAGTATAAAGTTCAAAACCGTACAATATGTTGCTTAGATTTTTTGATAAGTATATTACAAAAACCCATGGACGTACTATACAAAGAGGACAGTACTTTTACTCATAAAACGATCTGAGTGAGGATTGCGGATATCCTTATTAATATAATTTATGAAATCGTGTTTTAAAAAATATTAAGTTGGATTAATATTATCTTTGTTCATTATTTTGTTTACGTTTGGGTATTGCAGCTGCGTCTCGTGGAGGCAGTGCTGCGCACGCGCAGCCCACCGCTGCCGCGCGTCTCTCGAGCGGCGGGCGGGGAGATAGCGCGCTCTCCAGGGGACACACGTAATTATATTTTTTTTATTACGCAGGCAAAATCTCTATTTACAGACTTTGGTGTCCTTAAGGGGCACACCAACGAACGGACCTCACACCTAGCCTCTCGCAAGTCTCACGGGTGCGAAACGGAGAAGCCGTTAGGCAGTCCGCGCGGCTTACGAGCGCTTACGGAATACTATCGGCTTAAAAAACCCTGTGAATAACGCTACACTGTTAAGTGCGGAACCGCGAGATCCCCGTTGAGGGACTTCACCGCGTCTCCGCACCCACACATAATCATACCCAGACCCCTCTTTCCCAGTGGGCACTATGGGCAAGTGCCCAGGGCCCCGCGATCGATAGGGGCGTCCCTCAGATCAAAGACAAAGTAGTTCCTATCAGATCACCAAACGATAACCAATATTTATTACCAAAAAACTTACATAATTCGATGAAATCGATCTTAAATTACTGAATACAATACCAACTTACTAGCTTTAACATAAGCGAAGCTATTCTACTCTCGCCCAAAAATTACGCTTTCCGACTTCAGCATGCTTAGAGAAATTTAAATATACTTACATATAATGGTATATTAAGCATAAACACATTTTAAAATCATCAGTATGACTCGCTTCATCTCAAGTCATAATCCATATCAAAGTCATAGGGGCCCCATTATCCTAATATGCCCAGGGCCTCCAATAGGTTAAAGTCGGCCCTGATCATACCCTTCATTTGTATACCTATTTTGTTTTTCTATTATTGCAGATAATATAAGAAAAAAAATGGGAAGTCGATGAAACTTTATAGAATTGACTTCTAAATCTGCATAATGTAGGTATTGGGAGAAGATAGTGTTCTAAACCAACGAAAGTAGTCAAATTATATTTTTGAGGTCATTCGTGGATCTTATCTTAAAACGCACGATCCATAGAAAGAGGGCTTTAAAGAGTTTTAGCAGAAACATCTTTCGATATAAGGAAATTCTTACTTAAAAATTTATTTACTAGGTATGTACTTAATTGAACTCTATCTTATAACTGGGACAATTAATGCGATGCTATAATATCCTCCGCTGCCTTCTGTATGACAAAGGGTTGTATCTCGTAAACCATAAAGGTAGATAGTAATGTGTATATCTATTTCCGCTATACGTAGTTTTAAAAAATCTAGTATCCATGGCCCCCCACAACAGAGATGAGCCAGCCAGCCAAAACCAGGGATGAGCGGGGGTGCAAATCGTGGAACGGCCCAGATTTAGGGGCATCCACTCCTCCGCTGCCCCGGGGCCCCCACACCTCTAAATCCGGCTCTGTATCCACGAAAGAAAATATTAAAATTCCTGTAATAATTGACCCCACATATTGCTCTTATGAAATGGCAATTTCAAGTAGGAAGTACGCTGCTAATTGGTATCATTTAATATTATATTGTAATCAGCTAACATCGTATAAAACGTGAGGTTGGTTTCTTGACATTGGCTAATCAGGTTCAATAACATTCGTCTACTACGCACCAGACGAGCCGCGCCGTTAAAAACTCAAGACTAGTTCGAGTCGCGCTCGCGGGTCATCCGTCTGAATAAATTGAATCAGTTTCATTCACTAATTAATAAATGCTATTCATGCATATGTATGCAACGTACCTTTACGTACTACATTGGCACTGCTTAAATAACCTTTATTGCTGCGGCAGAAAGGCGCTCTCGATTTCAAATTGACTACAAAAACATGGCCACGATTGGGCCATACATGCTGTTTTATGTAGTTAAGTGGCTCCGATATTCATGAACTTCGAAATCAGTTTATAAAGGTTTATTAAGGTGTTCATTCATCAGGTAGGGTGTAAAATATAATTGGTTCATTTGATTCAAGTAAATACCTACCTATGTAGGTATGTCGTCATAGGCATAATCATGGAGCAATGTTATGTATTCTGTGACAATGCTCCATGAGGATAACCGCCTGGAGGTTTAAAATAACCTAAAACAGACAGACATACTATCGCATTTATAATATTAGTATGGATGTTTACAAATATGCTGTTTTAGATCTTCTGACAATGCGTTTTGTTGCAATTAGGGTTGTTATAGTTTAAAGATAACGGCTGCTTAGTGTCGTAAATATACATATTTGGGACTAGTGGCTCGCCCTCGCTTCGCTTCGGTGTAGACTATGCTGCTATATGCTATATAATATCGCGTTAGGACCAGTAGCAGCGGAGCTTCGATGAAAAATTATGCAAAAATGGGTAGAAATGTTCTATTTGCGAGCTCCCGTTGCGTGCTCTATGTAAACGGTTAAATTTATACTAAAACCACGTATGACGGAATTGTTTCCCTTTAAAAGTTCTTTTAAAAAAAGTCCGTGACAATATGTTCATCTTTTAATTTGACTCACTATCCCCTTTTACCTTCAAATTAGCGCGGGTGAAACCGCAGGGAATCTCTAGTTGTGACTTAACTGTAATAATTAGACATATGATATTACAGACTATTTGTAGATATTATGTCCTCTATAAAACTTTAGTACATCAATTTGCTCTATTGTCAATGACTTCCGCAGCGTACGCGAAAAAAGTCTATTTTTTAGCATGTTGGCTTACATTATCGAAGTTATCATACGGAACCCTAACTTACCCTACCCAAACTCAAACTCTTTATTTGCAAACTAAGTGTTGCATACGGTTCTTAAACATAAAGCATAGCATCTTATGACTTAGTCACTTGGTACAGGTATAACAAATAATACATAATTAAACATTTATGGTTATGATATTATAAAATTGTAACATATTTAATTTGGTTTGGGAGATACCATCATTATAACATAATTTAACAAAACGAAAACAATTGAAAAAAAAAATTAAAATTAATTAAATTTATTAAAGTATTCTTCGATAGAATAGAAGCATTCATCGGTTAAATATTTTTTGTGAAATATAGGGAGTTCCTGTTCATCCCGTATTTGTGATGGTAATTTATTAAATATTTTTATAGCCATGTGATAGGGGCTGGTGTTTAGCATCTTTATCCGTGAAGGAGGTATATACAGCCTACTTTTTTGAAAATACTCTATAGGGTATCTTTGAAAAAGTAGGCTATAAGTAGCCTATGTTCATCCCTGATGAATATAATTTAGAATTCTAAATGTAAAAGAATTTTTCAAATCGGTCCAGTAGTTTCGGCGCCTATTCAATACAAACAAACAATCAAATATTTTCTCTTTATAATATTAGTATAGATATTTTATTTACATTTCTTTGTATGTATAATGTTTAATTTAAATAAACTCAGAGTGAACCTTTTATGCATATTTAACGATATAATTGTATATACTTATACATAAAATTATATTTCTTTTATTTTTTTTTAAATTCTCTTATATGTTGCAGACAAGCCGAAGAAACGTCACAGGACAGTACGTATTTTCTGAACAGATCCATCAACCGATCTGAAGGCCGAAAGAAACAAACCGACGAGTTTGACGACGAGTTGCCTCTACCACCAGAGTAATATAAGCGTCAATTTTGTGTTCTATTGATATAATAAAGTTTTCATTTATTTAAACGTCTTAATTTTTTCATATTTGTACTTATAGGTAATCAATAATTCTTATCCATAGATGTCGAACGATCAGTGGGTTACTATTGATTATAAGTTAATGATAGACACATTTTTCATTGGCTTTGAATTCATAACACATAGATAATAGTGTTATATGATTAATATTATATGATAAATCCAAGTTTCGGTGACAAATGAAATCACATAAAAAAATCGGTAAAACTTTTATATTCGTATTGATAATAAAACAATTGCGCTATTATAATACAATTCATAAATACAGAACAACATACAGATTCTTAGACTAGAAAACAAAATTTACAATTTGAGGAGTAATAAAACGCTGCTTAAAACTTTTAAAATACTCTTTGGACTAAAATAGATAAGTACTCCTCTTAAAACTCTTCATAATTTAATATCACAATCATATATTTACATATCTTTCTAGTCCCTGTTAAACATAAAAATATATATTTAAAATTATAAATACAGTATCTTATGAAGATTATTCTAAACAGCATTTTAATTATTCAAATAAAACAATGACTTTTTCAGATACTTCTACAACTTGGCAATGATCACGTTCAGTAATCCGCAATCAAAGACATAATACTCGAAATAATGCACCGTATAGTGCGATTCAAATAAGAATAGGAAAGTCAATGACCTCCATCTGTCAAATGTCGCTTGAAAACCGTACGGTTTGCAATAAAATCTTGGAACCCTTTTTTAGCACGCAGCTAATTCTAAAATAAAAACTAAACATTTGTAAACAAACAATAACAAAGATTTATAATTAATATTGGTTGATTTTTTTTTCATTTATTGAGCTTTGGCTATTAATGGTTAATAACCTAAATTGTCAATCACTTTAAGTTGCGTTCAGAAAGTCGATTCAAAACTTTCGTTTACATAAAGGATGCATGTTCCTAGTAATAGTGCGGTTAAATAAAACTAGTTTTTACGGGTTAATGCACGAAACTTTATTTATTTATTGACGTTTCATAGCCTTTACAGGCTACGTCGTCAGAATCAAACTTTTATTAAGTAAAAGTTTGATTCTGACGATGTAATGTACGTCAATAAATAAATAAAGTTTCGTGCATTAACCCGTAAAACCTCAGAAACAAATAGTGCGGTTATTCATAACTACCTACTCCGGCGATAATGCAGAGATGACCGGAATTGAAGAGCTAGATTCTGATTAATGCATTTCTCACACAGTCTTAATAAATAAATATTATTAAAAATCGGTTGTTTTTTCCTCAATCTTAGTAAATAAATTATAATAAAAAAATCTGATGTATTCCTCACTTAATCTTAGTAAATAAGTTTTATTAAATAAAACACTTTTTTTTTGCTTACTCTACCTATTTGGTTTGAATTGACAGCAATGACGTCACAATATGGCGCCCAGTCGGTCCTATTCTTAGTTGAATCTCATTATAATGTATCGTACCGTCGTGTCGTCGTCTTCTACTTATGAGATTTTATTCGACAAAAGTTCCTGTGTTTCCTTGAAACGATTACTGATTGTCAATTTACACATTGTCTGATTACGCCGCATTCTTGATGTGTTCTACTTTTTACCACATATACTACGTCGTAATGTTTCATCAAGATTAAAACGCAATAACCTAAATTTGATTGATAAATTATAATGAGTCGCAAAATAGTTTACGATTCTGGAAAAGGGGATATTCCATAAGTGTCCACTGACACAACAGAATACCTATTTATTATTCTTGTTAGGTACTTAATAAAATATACAATATACCTAATAATTAACTTCTATCAAACATAAATTATCATTTATATTTGTACCATCGTTCAACGCGCTTTTTTTCTAACACTTATTTACAAGGACAGAAAAATCAAATATTTAAATGTGGATGACGTCAACGATAACGCTGAAAAAAGACATGGCGTGATAAAAATGCGCAGCATTTTAAAGTCACAGTATATAATATAACATTCTCCGCTTCTCCAGGTCGCGTAACCCAACTACTACTATCCTACCTACTTATCTTAAAAGTTTATCGTACAAATACTTATCTAACATGTACAGTTCAAACATTTGGCATGAAAAGTCTCTTAAATTAAACATAATTTAAACAACGACTTCAGTCACCGGACCTACTCGTGAGTAATTTACATTTCGGTACAGGGCATTACCGGAGTGTTGCTTGAATAAAATCGCTTCAAAACAGGCATAACAATATCTCGATAAAACGCAAAAAAACAATCGTAGCAATTAGAAACACGTACTAATTTAATATTTTTTATCGTTACTTCGAAAAAGTTTCTCATGATAACAGAGCACAATCAGTTACCAAACTCGTACGTTTCTTAACGCACTATCACTATGATAAGAATTTGCACACACTGTTTCGTTAACACTCATGATATAATCCTCGCGTAAGGATGCTCTATGTGGCCGTACTGTATCGCGAGCAGCGTGTCCTTGACCCGCTGGTACACGGGCGCAGGCTGTTTCATGGTAGGGATGTTGACATCCATGTCCAAGAATCCCACTCGGCTTATGGGACTGATTACTACTGCCGTGCCGGCACCAAACATCTCCAACAACTGAAATGATAAACATCCATTAATGTCTTTTACTCTATACTTCCTGTATATTATTCTGTAACTGAGGCTCGCAGTCTATTAGTATCCTACGGACAGTGTGACCAGATTCAGTATTTTAATACTTTTTCAGTATATTTCATCCTTTTTTCCGAACATCAGTATATTTTCAGGTATATTGCTGGCAGTCAGTATTTTCGGGTATATTTTGGTAGAAGTTATGGCAACACCGTAGTGCGTCATCGTCTTTGCGACAATGTTTGCGGAATTCCCCTGAACGCGAACATTGGGGACTTCCCCGGATTCAGTTTACCTATACTTATACATGTTATCTATGAGTAAGTTACTGATATGACAAGAAAGACGGCCGTTGTCGGCGTTGTAGTATTGTAATACTACATATACAATTATCAATCAATACATAGTATTAATCAGACTTGCAGAATGTATGTTCGCCTAAAACTTTACAACTGCTGGACCGATTTTAATGCGGTTTGCACTATTAGATAGAGCGTGAAGAAATGAAGGAGGTTATGTAAATTTTAATCCTTCGAAAAGGATGTTAAAATATAACTCTAACATTTATTGTGAGTACGTATGAATAAATAAAACGTGTTAAGAAAATCAGTATTTTTATTGGTATATCTGTGCTATGTAAGTCGGTATATTTCAGTATTTTTTTGAGGTGCCTCGGTATTTTTGTAAAATTTTATCTGGTCACCTACGGACTGCGCGGGCTTTCGACGTATGATTTTTTTAACGCGATAAACACGCCCATATCAGTGGATAAAGTAATTTTCAACTGGTGATTTTTAAATCTGTTTAGTAATTCCAGCGAATGCTTTCTACAAACAAACTTACATAGACCCTATTATCGTCACTGTAAAGGAACAGATAGTAATATCTAGTGTTTGCCTGCAATAAGCTGCTATCGATAGTAAAAAAAATCCATTTCGGAAAATAATCGATCGATGATCTCAATTTAGATTGCCAAATAGGCTTGTTGAAAATATATCGATGTATCGATATATCGATATTTTTTGTACGATATATCGATATTATTAGCCGATATATTTTGATTCGATATATCGATACATCGATACAAAATAACCAATATCGAAATTCGTATCAAAAACGATATTTTTTAATTATTAGCGGCATATCACGATCCAACTAAATTCGTATCTGGAAAAATCGTAACTGGATCTCAGATTGATGATATTCAACATATCTATGATCTGTGCTGTATTTAGTACTGTCTATGATTTGTAAATCTGTTTCGCTGGTGAATTGGTTGTGCTGAATTCCATTATATTCTGTGGAAGTGTGTGACTGTCTAGTCTTGTTTACGAAAGATGGCACCTGAGAGGTCCTGCAATCATTTTCATCATTCGAAAATAGGGTCTATTTTAGGTAGATAATTTTCGTTCCATTATTATTCCGCGTGTCATCTTTCGTGAGATACTGTACTGTCATGTAGTGTAGCGGCAATTTGGTACTTTGATAATTCTTTCTTCAATTATAATTTGTATTGTTATTATTACTGTGCTAGGCTTATCTAAATATATTTTTGGGAAAATTGGTCCGATATATCGGATATATCGATGTTTTTTTCGCGATATATCGAAGCCGATATTGATATTTTTTAAAATATCGATGTATCGATATATCGACATTTTTTTCAACTTTCGACATCCCTATTGCCAAATGAGATGTAGTTGTGGTACCTAGCGTAATCCGCTGCCTTGCTTCCAATGTTACCTAACTTAAAGGGTTTCCCCTAAATTGAGGGGCATATAAAATTTAATATAGATAGGAATATATTATTAAAGCCCATCAATGGGTAGGTTTTTTAAAATACATTCCTATCTAGCCTGTTTCTTAAATTATTAAACATACGTAACTACGATTCTCAATTATACCTAACTGCCTAAATTGGATCGAGATTACACATTATCTGTATTAAATACGGAGTTGGACCACTTACTCTTCCTTGTTTGTTGAGTTCAATAAGGTTGTTCATGGTAATGACTTCCTCCTTGACGGTCAAGTCCTCCCATTGGCTGGCCAGTTCGAGGATGGACCGCCGCGTGACGCCCGGCAGTATCAACCCGTTCAGGGGCGGCGTGGCGAGTTGCTTATCTGTAAACAAATCATGCGATTGTTTATTTGAAGACAACCAATAAAACATTACAAAGAACTGTTTAACATACAAGTGTAAATCTACAGCATTTCTAACATTAACAGCAAAATAAAATTTGACTGAAAAATTACAACTATTATTCTATAATGTGACAAACATTATAATTTTATTGAAAGTCATCGTACTAAACTGATTTGAATACGGATCTGTCAAAGTTCGTGCTTGTGGTACTGATATTGAAGCGTTGTGGTTAAGAAGTTGCGGGTAGGTACGAATCTAGCCTGGTTATCTGAGACACTTGTCATTTTATCAATCTTCTTGAAAAAATAGCCCACAGGAACGCCACAAGCAACTGATAAGTCAGATTTGGTTCACTAGTTTTACTAAGTATATAAAATGGTATTAAACTTTATCATTCGCATATCAATTACATAAATTGGGCAGTTAATACTGTAATAAAATATTAAGATATGACTCACGACCGATGTTACTAACATACATAAACTACACGCAATTTTCAACAGTTGTTTAACTTATAATTAGGATAAATTAAACTGAAATAGGCGTTATTTAGTTAGTTAGTTAAATTATGAAACTTAATTCTTGTACACTAACCAAAGTTTAACAATACAAATAAAATAGGTAGGATTCTGCATACAAAAGAAATAATTATCAACATTAAATCCACTTAGCAATATATCTCCGAATAAACATATTTTCATTAAACCGCGTAGATATCAACTTTCGGTTTCAATCCGGTGTCAATTCTGGCGTGTTTCTCTAAACTTAAAACTAAATTTAACATCAGTCTCTCCTTTTCATTCCGTATAGAGAATGACAGGGATGCACTGTTGCCAAATTTAAGTTTAGCTTTAGAGAATCATGCCAGAATCGACATCATTATCTACCTAAAACATGTGTACCAATAACTGTTATATAATAATATAAATATTCAGTTGTGATTAGTGATCTGGATTTAATCAGTCCAGTTATTATTCTCTTGTTGCCCTAAAGTTAACCAAGTTTCGTCAATTTTTATCAGTGGCAATAAAAGAATTGTTTGCGTTTGTCAAACGGTGGAAACGTGAGTTGTCATTATCAACACATTATTTTGATGATGTTAACCGTCCTAACTGTTGCTTCAGATATAATAAGACGAGATTTTACCGGTCATAAGGTCGCAGAGTGACGGCGTGCTTGATAACATGACAATATCGGCCACTTACTTCACTAGCTTATCTGGTAAACTGCACTGTTCCAGCTCATACCAATTAAGAAGTTATAAAGTAATGGAGCGAAGTAAATATCGGCCCCATTACAGGCGTGAACTCTGTGACACTGTGTTTACCGGATCATTGAATGCACCGTTGTTACGTTAGAGACTGATTTTTTATATTATTTCGGCTTACTGCTTTTTCCTCATCACGTGGTTTGTTCAGCATTACAAGATGATGCACTAATCTCTGTAAATATACAGCTTGATAAAAAAATAATGTTTATCCAGAAATCGATTAAATATAAAAAAATCTACTATATGGTGCGCTCTAGCTAATCGGTATAAAAATACGATTTAAAGGTATTCATAACAGTCATATAAACAAGTGCAGAAAAGTGTCAACTAAATTATAGTGATATTTTTCTTCAGAATTGACGCACCACTGATACGTTAACACACACATACGTATTCCGTTAAGTATTTGCTCGAAGCAGTCGTAACCATGTCAAAGGTTAAGCTAGCTCATATCGTGCAAACTTGACATAATTTATTATTACAAGTATAAAGTATGGGAAATATTTCAAATCATCAACATACATTACTTTAAAAATATTCCATCTTTCTACAGATAAATAAGTTTTCGGGACAACAAGACTGGCTGGCCTATGTAATATTTTCCATTTGGTTATAAGTATTATCGAGCCCTTACCGCCAAATTATCGTAAGCGACACTCGCCAAATTATCGTAAGCGACACTTTTGTCGAAATGCGTTTTTTGTGGAAACTAATATTTTAAACCGTAACGGACCCATCTCTGTTGATATTTCCCTCCAAAAGAACACCGTTACAATATAATAGAGGGAAGAATAGAGGGAAATATCAACATAGATGGGTCCGTTACGGTTAAAAATATTAGTTTCCACAAAAAACGCATTTCGACAAAAGTGTCGCTTACGATAATTTGGCGAGTGTCGCTTACGATAATTTGGCGGTAAGGGCTCGTTATGTTTGCTAACTTGAACGTTTAGTTTTGAAATCTACTTTTATTTATATACTTATTATTTATGTTTTAGAGAGTAAAAAGGATTAATAGTATAGTGTGCTATAATTGTATGTATCAATTTGTGGTAAAACTGTACTTCTAGGGCCCAAAAGGTGATACTTGTTTTTTTTTGTAGAAAAGGTCTTTTTAACAGTTTTTTTTTCTGGCGCTTCGCCGGCCGCTGCCGCGGCACGCTTGCTTTGCTCGCTCGGCTCGCGCGTTATGGTCACAACACTAACCTAACCTAACCTAGTATGAAGTATCACCACTTGATAAGAAAAGTAAAAATTTTCAATATTTTTTTCTAAAAAACTACCAGTGCATAAGTGTGACATTTTTTTAAATAATGTGGTTAACAGAAACCTTTTTAACAACAAAAATGCGAAATTACAACCAACAAAACTGTGAAGTTTTTACTTTTGGGCCCTGGAAGTACAGTATAACCCAATTTGTTTTTGTATTCCTTTACTTAAGTATGAAATGAATGCCTATCTAAATTCACATCTGCACTTAAGATTTAGGTTAGGGTTTAAGATTTGCCTTAAGAATATAGGATAATTCTATTCAGAAACTGCGATTTGTATGAAACTATCAATAGAACGAATTGTTTAAATTACATTTGCGTACCTAAATATATGTAAATAAGTATAGAAAATAATCTGCTAACTTGACTTTGTTACAATTAAAAGATTAAACTTAGTGATTCCTTAGTGATTCAGCCAAGAGTATGGCCATTACCACAATCAATAGTGATGGGAAAATAATGTAAGGATATGAATAGGCTGATAATGAATGAGTTAGAATATATCATACCTCCATGTTCGTTGATGTAAACTATGAATATGTTCATGGCGCCGACCTCCGTGAGTTCGTGGTTGGGTCCGAACAGCCACAGCACCTGTTGATGTCCTAACTTTTCCGCCCTTGACGTCGCCTCTGCAGAAATTGATCACTTATGAGGTTCGGTTTATCTAAGTATTTTCTTTTAAAGTATTTCTTATTGTACGTTTCTATGCAACATTGTCTGTCTGACATCTGTCTGTTACCTCTTCACGCGCAAACCGCTGAACCGATTTATATGAACTTTAGTATATAGATAGTTTGAGTCCCGGGCAAGGACACAGGATATTTTTTTATCCTGGAGATAATTTTTGAGGCTGTGAAAAGGTGGGCAGAAGATGGATGGAAACGCACACGAAGTCGCGGGCATTCACTAGTATTGTAGCAGCAGCCCTTCAGACTATATAAAACTACATAACTTTTTTTCCTCCTCCACTCCTTACGAAATAAAAACACGAAATAAACCTAAAATTTTAAACTTAAACCTTCAAAATAAACCACATTTCAGTAATGGACACTTGAACTTCGAGCTACCGGGTCAAAAGTGCCCTCAATTTTTGATCGTTTTTCTCCCATTTTATCTTTTACTTGCTTTAAACGCATTATGTGAAGTAAAGCTAACTTAATTTTAAATGCTAGATTAATTGATTCATTTTCCTACTAGCTTTGCCCCGCGGTGTTAACCGCGGTTTATTAGGGATATTTTTCCGCAGTAAAACGTAGCCTATGTGTTAATCCAGGGTTGCAGCTAACTCCATACCAAATTTTATTAAAATCGCTCCAGCCGTTAAGACGTGAAGAATTAACAAACATACACACTCACAAACTTTCGCCATTATAATATTAGTGTGATTATAGGCTTGGAAGCTTAAATATTTACCAAAAAAAGGAAATAAGCAAACAAATAAGTTCAATGTTATAAACTTAGCAAAGTTTATGAATTTTAAGTACTTAAGTACAGTCTAAAAGAGCAAAATATTAAGTGACACTCTTATCATAGTAGATTAAGCGGAACGTGGTTATTATTTATCATATCATTTCCCTTCCACGTGGACATTATTTAAGAAATAAATAAAAAACCGTTATCCTATCGAGAGCAACTTCACTAGGTATTAGAAAAAAAAAACATATTTGAGGAATAGTAAACATTTCAAAATTTCAAATGATTATATATTTATTTTTCAATATGAAAAGGTGCCACTTTGCCATTACCTATTACTAAGGTTGATTAAAAAAATAATTAACGTTATTTGCTTAAATGCGTGGACAATTATGTTATCGTAATCCTTTTGCAATGTCACATAATTTTTGCTCGTTGTTTCAAGTAAATAGAGCTGTAATTGCCCTTGTCATTTTCTAGGGTTTTCTAATATTATTGTATTAGTGACCATGACCTATATGAACAGGCATTAAAAGATGATTTTTCCCAAATCTAGATTTTTAGGTGCTAGAAAAAAATAGATTTTGCATTAACCGTGCATAAGTCTATGACTTGATAAGAAACATCACTATGCATTTTATTAAGCAGAGGAGCAGAGGCGGTTAACTATTTAAACATTTTTCTTAATTATAATACATAGGTATATTTATATCAATCCAATCGTGGTAGGCGTGTGTGAAACTGTTTATATAGTTTTAAATACTGATTTACTCACCAATAGTGGGTCCGTAATTTGATCCGACTTTCCTATTCCCTGCACCCCCGGGGAATGCCCGAACTACGTTAGGGTCGGCGAATATGGAGACTGCACCATCTCTGCTCTTTTTGTAATAGGCGCTCACTGGGCTCAGGACTGCAAACAACAGGGCCGAGTCTGGTGCTTGAATACCAAAAGTTGGCTGAAACAAAATACAGATAATAATAATAATAATAAAATTTTATTTTAACAATTAGTACAAAAATAATAACTTAGAAGTACAATTTTAGCTTAGGTATAACAAAACATGCGCCTGAACTAAGAAAATCCTGTGTTTCAGGCGGAAACGGGCGATTAATTTCCATTAAAATAACATGTGTATTTATTTATGGTAAATTACAGTAAATTTGGTAAAACATTACACATATAATTAACTTAAAACTAATCTAAAATGATGCAATATACTAGATTCAAGAATAATAATATCAAGAGAAACGAACACTTCTCACAACTATATCCTTATGCTACTTAACTACAACTAATAACTTCTCTGTATCTTCATAGGACATGCATAGTAAGGCTTCTTGTAGGCTTATTTTACAATTTTTGTAATTTAAGGGATATATGTTTTTTATTGCATTTAGTCTATTGTAGAGCAGTGGTCCTAGGAAAGTGAAAAATCTGGATGCAAAAGCTGATTTTGTTCTTCCATATTTCTGGGGGCAAACTAGATCCTTGCGTCTTTTACCAGAAATAAGTTCAACATAGTATGGTACAGCTACGTGCTGTTTTAGTACGATGTTCATTATAAACAGTTGCCGAACTGTTAATACCTTATGAATTTTATAAAGTTCATATGTGGGATAAAAGAAAGGTAGGGAAGATGAAACCTTAAGGATTGCTCTTTGGGCTCTCTCAAGAGTTAGCAGCAATGTCTTACCCACTCCACCCCATGACGTGATACAATATTTTAGTATTGATTGACATAAAGCATAGTATACCTGTTTAATTATTTTACAGTTTGCAATATTGCGCAGTTTTTTAAAGATCATTATCAGCTTACGAATTCTGTTAGTTACTGCAGTAATGTGGTGTTTGTAAGACAGGGTTTCATCTAAAATTATTCCGAGATATTTTAATTTGTCTGTAATTTTAATGGCAGGACATTCACAATTATTATTAAAAGGCTCTGAACTGCAATGATGGGCATATAAAACTGTATTATAGTAGTTTGCTTTTGATTTACGCATCGAAAATTTAATAAAATTTGTCTTGTCTGCATTTAATGTTAGTAAATTGTGTTGAAGCCAATTATTGACAATATTAAAACCACGTTGCGCATGCATGTGTACCTGACTTTCTGACTCGGCTGAAAAAAGGAGAGCTGTGTCGTCAGCGTATGATATAATAGTACCGTTGCTAATTTTAATGTTGCAGAGATCATTTATGTAAATTAAAAAAACAGAGTAGGGCCTAATATTGATCCTTGTGGAATTCCAAAGGGTGTACAATTTAGATCGGCACTTACGATATTACCTATTTTGACGCATTGGGAGCGGTCTTCTAAATAACTTGTAAAAAGTTTGAGCTGCGTGCCTCTTATTCCGATGTTTTCAAGTTTGCGCAGAAGGAACGGGACAGATACTGAATCAAATGCCTTGGCAAGATCAAGGAAAATGCCGATGGTGTAATTACCTTTATCTAATTCTTGAGCTATGTAGTTAGTTAGTTCATGTACAGCATCCGCCGTTGAAACTTTAGATCTAAAACCAAACTGATTTTTCGATAATATCGATTTATATTCTAAGTATTTTACCAATCTAACATTTATAATTTTTTCTAGTATTTTTGATAATGACGTCAGTACGGATATTGGTCTATAATTAGTTACTTGAGTTTTATTTCCAGATTTAAAAACTGGAGTAACGATTGCTTTTTTCAAGCATTTGGGGAAATACCCAGTACAAAGATATCTAAGCCTATTTTTTTTTATCTCAGGTCCCGAATTAATGTAAAAAACAACCATTACGTAGGTAATCGAACTATTGATACGTTTCATTCGCGATGCAAATAGTGCAATTAGTGAGGAATTCTGAAAGGGGTCATGTTTCTGCTGTATTACTTCACTACTGGACTCCACTTACATTTAACAGCAGTAGCCCAAGCACGGACTTTGACAACGCCGTTATCGTATCATATCGTCAAAGTTTCTATGAAAACAAGGCAGCGCCCCTACCGCTACAACTAAAATTATAAAACATGACGATATGATTACGAATTTGTCAAAAGTTCGTCCTTGGGCCTCCGTAATCGTATTGCACCATCAAAGTTTCTATGGAAACTAGGCAGCGCCCCTTGGGATACAGGTGGGGTGCGGTAATTTCAACTTTTAAAATTAAAAAATATACATAATTTTGATAAATTCTGTTGGTTGCCTAGAACATATTGACTGCTCCTCAGTTCCCTACTGAATCAATTGACCAATTTAGGTATTTTAACATAAGAAATCTTATTATTTTGTTAAATATTGACTTCTTTTTCATTGAAGGCTTCATTCTTGAAGGAAATGCCTTTACTGAGACGGTGATGAGGTCTCTCCAATCTTCGGCTTGTCTTAGGGCAGTTGCTATACTGAATCCAGTTATGTCTTTTATTTGGTCTAATCAATGAACGGCCTCTTCGTCTTGTACCATTTACTTATTCCATAACAACCATATTGTATAAGTTGTCGGGCTTTCTCCTAGTGATATGACCAAAGTAACCTAGTACTACGCTGATGATTGGCTATTCTAATATGTTTAAGATATTTTAAACAAAAAATGCTGATTTATTCTTTAGACTATTCTTTTACTTGTTATCTATTTTAAGCCCTTGGCAACACATGCTATTTAAAATGACTTGTAAGCTATGTATGCTAATTTAAATATAAGATTATATATTTTTTCTCTCCTTCTCTTCTATCTTATTTTGGCTCTCCTGAAAAGTCGGGTTTTGTGCTTTACGTCAATTGAAATTACAAGTATCGATATATTTGCTTAGTATTAATGGAATGGAGGTAAATCGTCGTAGTAACCACATTGGAACTCCTCATCGTATATCATACTTGATAAGACTTATCTTTTGTTATGAAATTAAACGAATTATAATAAAATAAATTATAAATCACTAAGAGGTAATTTTGCTTGATAAATAACATCACATCTAGGTATCAATGACATGTGGTGAAATAATAACATTGGGCCCAATTCTGGCTTTCCAACTTATATCTAAAACTAACTAAAATTAGATATGGAGTTGTCAAATTCAATTTCGTATTCTGTAATGACACTCTATCTCTAAATTTAAAATTGACGTCGCTAAGTTATTCAACTTAGATTTAGATGATTAAATGGTATTCTGAAACGCGTTCTAAATGTCATATTTTCTCTAAAATTAGAAATGTCACACTAAATTTAAGAAGGACCTACGGAGGTCCTCTCTAAATTTAAATGTGAATAATTGAGGCCAAATATCATGTAAATGATTGCTGTTTTGAACTTGATGTTAAGGTTGGACATGGGTTTATTTCGTTAAAAAAGACAAATTTTATACAATAATGAAGGACGACGGAGATAATAATATATTAGCTAGATCTTTTATTTTTTTTAAAATGATAGTTAAGTCTATGTTTCGATGCGGATTTATTAAAAGCATATTAATGTGTCATGGCCTAATGTAGCTTAGTGAGGGCTAACGACTGCAGATGCAGCGAGCAGCAACATAGGAACTCGATATTATAAATACATATTGGGTTGATCACCCATCCTAAGCTCGGCCATTGTGAAAATTGCTTAACATTCACGATCGCAGAACGAAAGCGTTACACTTGCGCTATTGTGGTCTTTCGTAGGTAATGTACACGTATATCTTGTATAAAATACTAAATAATTTAAGGTAAAATCTTTTATAACATAAATAAAAATCCACTTCATATAAAAACAAGCTAAAAAGATAAGAAATCTATGTACTAATTCTATAGGTGGTTTTGTTTCTATGAAGCAGTTTTTAATATTTGTTGAATATGAAATGTTTTTACTTCCAACTTTTTATAAGCTTATCATATTTCTTAAAATAACCAAACACGAAATAAGTACCTACTGTTTGTAATTGAAAAGTTTGTTTTTATAGATCCGAAACTTGGCCTCTTCACCAAATGAATAATTGGGATTTGGAACGATCTCGCCAAAAACTGATAGAAACAAAAAAGATAAAAATAGGTTACGCATCTCGGATTATACAATAAATGAGAATAAAATCTTCACAAAACAGCCGAGGGGATAATTACAACCTCTTACCGAAACCGAAATTTATAAACGTAGGTAGGTACCTACGAGTAGGTAATAGATAGATGCGCTGGATTGGGAATTCACGATGCGAGAAATTTTCAAGGATGATTCACATTAGACCGTGTAGGCGGTAGCAGAGTTAACTAATCATCATCATCATCATCAGCCTATTAATATCCCCATTGGTGGGGCACAGGCCTTCCCTATAGATGAAATAGGGAGATTGGGCCATGGCCCACCACGCAGGCCCAGTGCGGATTGACGGGTGCTAACGACTGCAGATGCAGCCGGGACCAACCACTAAGGAACTCGAGATAGAAGATTTTTGGCCACCCATCCAATGACCGACCACTGCGAAAATTGCTTAACTTCAACGATCGCAGCCGAACGAGCTAATCGTCTGCGCCATCAAACTCCTCTTGGTAACTTATATTAAATAATTTATTTTACATGGATTATGGACACATTCATGCTATGGCGGTAACTGACTGAATACCAGGCGGTAACTAACTGACAACCGAGCAACAAATGAAACAACGCTCGGAAAAAATTTGGTCCCGCCTCGGCTCTGCCACGGCCCGCTGCATGAATACAGCGCCGGCGCGGTGCCGCCGGTCAAACGTAGTGATACCTCAGACAAAACAATAAACGTTTTTGCTCGGACGAGACACTTTGTAAATTACAGATCGGCTCGGTGACCATGCTACGGCTGAAGATCGCCTCAGGACTCGACACGGTCCATCGTCACTGATCATCCTGAATAGATTTGTTAGTTACCAAAATCTAGTTGGTATTTTTAATTTTATTTTAAAAGTGGTAGATTTCCCCATCCTTTTGCCAAAACAAATACTTGGCATTTTCTAAGAAAAAATATGATTATTAAAGTTCGCCCGCAGATTTAATTACTCCTAGTTCTTATTTTTCCCCAAAATAAGGATAAACACTCCAAATCTAGAATCCCTAAGTACCACAGAGTAGGCAAGTATTCACTATATAATATGGATTCATAATTTGTCATGCAGTAAAATAACAAACTTATTTTAAGTTTCCATATTTCAAAAATTATGAAGAACAACAATGAACTACTGAAATAAGTCAAAATCACTGAATAATAAGAAATTATTGCTAATTTGAGTAAACCGATAATTACCGGTTCAATGCTTTTACCTAATCTGTGAATTCAATTTACATGCTCGTTTACAGCTGTCAACTGTGTTCTTAATTTAGTTAGTTCGCAATTTCAGAATACCAATTCTCTAAACCTAAACTAAAATTACCTCTCTAATTTTAGGTTTAGATTTAGAGAATGTAACGCCAGAATCGGTCCCATTGTCATTGGCAAAACCAATTTTTGTTAATATATGTAAAATGTACCTTTTATTGGTTTTGTTTCGCTTTAATTTCGTAGGTAAGCAACAACAATAACAAATTCCATAATTTCTAAATAGACACAATTTTAACGTTATTGCCGTCCATGATCAGCTTCAGACCAGGAATGGGCGCGTATATACCCTAAGGCCAAGAGGGCCATGGGTTCCTCTCAGGTTCGAGTGGTCTAGAGGCTCCAGACGGAGAGGAGACTCTCCCCGCGGGGAGATGCCATCCACCTGGAAAACCTATAGAGGCACTCGCCAATTCTCGGCTTGAGGTCCCCTTAGGATCTCGCCGTCCCCAAACTCGGTGACGCTGTAAAGGTCATCTGCGATCAACAGCATACACACTCAAAAAAAAGGGTCACGGATTGGGGCGGCTACATGAGGTTTGATAGGCGGCTACACGAGTTCCGAAGGGTGGCTATATAAGCTTCGAGGGTCGGCAAAAGACATGTGTCTTCGTTAACGGCATAGAAGTATTTGTTACTGACCAACCCTCCTTGAATTAGCAAATGCCATCAAAATATAGTGATGAGATTCACTAATTCTAAGGAGGAGGGGGGGGGGGGGCGAGGGAGGGGGGTGAAAATCGTAATGGCCAAATTTCAAAATATTTATATAATGATTTATCTCGAAGGTATATCCAAACTATTAGATTTTTAAATTAATATTAACATTGTAATTGCAAATTTGCCAAAGGGGAATTGAAACTAAGGCTATAAATATTTATGTGAAAAACACTCGTCTGCTACGTAGCTGCAGATATCACATAAAAATTGTTAATTACGTAATTTGTGTTTTTGTTCATGACTATTTTATTATACACTTCCGGACAAATCTATCGGTCCACCTAGCATTTTAAGTCTTGACGGTCCCTAGCTAGATGTTACATCGAGCATAAAGTTATTACCTACGCAGTTTCGAAGCTGATTTATTAACCATCTTTTCGTGTGTTTTTTAAATTAGTGCTCAACCATTAACATATGTATATTTTTGCTATAAACCGTTGAAACTTATAACTCTAAGCTTAAAACTAGGCCGATAGATGTGTCCGGACCGGAAGTATATATATTTATAATTATTTTATTGCCAAGGTTTATTAATCATTTTTAAATGTATAATTTGTCCTTTGAAAGGGATTCATACGCTTAAGGCACGTATTCTTACGAAATTATGGAAACCTTATTATTTATCAATAATATGTCAATCAAAACTCATTAAAAATTCAGTTGTAGGTATGTAGCTACTTAAAACATTATCTTGGGATCCAGTATATTACCAACCCGAAGTAACGTTGTAACGATAAAAACGATTCTTTTATTCTTGTTTTTCCAAATCCTTTTTATATCTTCATTTCAAATATTTAGGTACAACTGGTGTTTTCTTGATAAACTATAACTGCTTCAGAGAATTCTAAAATTAAATAAATATCAGATTACATTAAAGTAGATTATAAACTTACATCAACACCTATTAAAGTTGGCCTTATGTACAACGTGGACGTTTCTGAGTGCGGTACCCATTCCTGATCAATCTGCACCAACCGCGATATGCACTTCACCAGTTCATCTCCGTCGAACATTGGCAGGCCTGACCGCTGAGCCGCCAAGTTCATTCTTTCCATGTTGAGCTCCGGCCGAAACAACCGAATCTTGTCATCTCTACCCCTGTACGCTTTTAATCCTTCGAACAACTGCAAAATAAACCTATATATCAGGGTGTCAATTCTGCTAAGCTATCGTAAAAATCGTGTCTCGTCGTAATAAATCGTGTAATAGTAGTGCAGTACCTAGTATCTCATTTGACACAGTGCCTGTAACTTATAGTAGGAGCACGGTAATATTATCTATACAGTATTGTGACTCCGCCCTGTAATTGAAAATAAATGACTACACCGAGCGCTGTGTTGGCACGCACGCGGTAGGGCCGCCAGCCTTCAGTATTTTATGTAGTTTTGTTTTTAACGCGAGTGTAGGTAGATTACTCGTTTGTCTCTTTTTTCATCCTAACCACTTATTCATATATTATTCTAGATATTTTGCCCGATGAAAAAACCGAAATACCTAAATATTAGAAACAAATAACGTACTAGTAGATAGGTATATAAAAATATTCTATAAAGGTAAGACACCTTGCCAATATTTCAGGTAATTTAAAAAATTATATCTCTGGGTGTGTTATTGAAGAGTTCAAGCAACCAAAAACAGCAATTGTGCTGTTGTACGATATTGATCGTCGTTTGTTCTTTTTCATTCCATTTCATCCATTTCCATTTTCTAAATTATGTAGGTATCTACTTAATTAAATCAAATATTTACAATACAAAACGTACGTTTAAGCACGGCTAACTGTATAAAAAACAATTCAGACCGTTCGGTCGTCGTTGCGGCGCGGCGGCGCATTCGCGACTGGGTGCCCGCCGAGAGCACATCGAACTCGAGTGGCGTAGGTATGACTCGCTTTCCGACGGTTTGTATGAAGATAGAATACTGTATGATATTATTACCGTGGTAGGAGGGACCAAGCGGAGATTTTTGGATTTACTCGAGCGTGGCAAAATAACAATATTTTATCCGTCCTCAGAAACGTTACGTGAACCTTTCAGTAGCTCCTATTCAAAAGACTGACGATTTGTTTTTTTTTGCTGCCGTAGACGTTCGGCCCTACATAGAGGGCTTAGGTATGGTGGGAGTACTTCACAAGGTGCAAGATCCAAAAATCGCCGCTTTGGCTGCCCTACCATTCATTATAAAATAACATATAAACATATAGATAACTCATATAAAAAATCAATAAGCAAATACGTTTAATATTTTGTGTTTTAGTGACAATAACTGTATTAAAAATCAAAACTACTGAAACGCCACTGACACACGATTATTACTATAACTTAGCAGAATCGACACTCAGGTCAGCCCGTCATTTTCCTATTCAAAACATCTCTCGATCAAAATAACAAGATAACCGACTGTTTATACAACGTTTAATATTCTGGAAAGTGTAACTCAATAGCGTACTGCTTACACATCATACATACCTACTTAACACATCTCATATCATTCCTTCAAAAGTGTATTAAATAAATAACCTACTTAGATTTCATGTATAGATAAAAATTAGTAAAATAGATTTCTATAATGCTTCCTTCGTAAAAGATCTAAAATGGAAAATTTGGCCTACATACCTGCACTGCATAATGCAAAGCTTTGGCTGCGGGATGTATGCTTAAGTTTTCGAATGGCATTATTTCTGGTTTCTGCCAGCCACCCAGCGCCCTGTGGTAATATATTTTGAGCATGTGGTCTGTGAAATATCTTCCGAAGCCTAGTTCCTCGACTTCTGGTTTGGGTTGCAGCTGATAGGGCGCCGCTAAGCTAACCCGCAGGTCATCGTACTGTGAAAGCAATGGAAGTTTATATTAAGTTGCTCGTAAATACGTTGTATGACGTAAGTCACGTGTTTATTGGCATGCTGCACCGTCATTAGTAATGAGTAGATAAGTAAATAAGTAGGTAGGTATTATTAGTGAAATTATGAGATATTGAGCACGACAATGTTAGATTCTTAATTTATGGGTAACTATTTTATCGGCCAAAGAGGCAACTTGCAATATCAGGTCAGTTTCTAATTTATCTCCTGAAAGTACCTATATATTTTGATTAAGATGACAATGAAGATTCTGGCGTGATTCACTACACTTAAAACTAAATTTAACATCAATCTCTCCTTTTCATTCCGTATAGAGAGTGACAAGGATACACTGTTGTCAAATTTAAGTTTAAGTTTAGAGAATCGTGTCAGAATTGACACTACTGTAAAAGTAAACAGGGTGTTTGATTTATTTACTTACTACTATTACTTCTAGTGCTTGTATGTGATCATCCATCCATCCATCAGCCTTTTTCCGTCCACTGCAGGACATAGGCCTCCCCCATAGAACGCCACAATGCGCGGTCCTGCGCTATCCGCATCCAGCGGCTCCCAGCACATTTGACGATGTCGTCAGTCCACCGTGTTGGGGGCCGCCCCACGCTGCGTCGTCCGGTACGTGGTCGCCACTCGAGGACCTTTCTTACCCAACGGTTGTCAGGTCCTCGAGCGATGTGGCCTGCCCATTGCCACTTCAGCGTGCTAACTCTTCGGGCTATGTCGTACACACCGGTCATTCTACGGATCTCCGTATTCCGGATCTTATCACGTAGGGAAACACCGAGCATAGCCCTCTCCATAGCACGCTGCGCGACTTTGAGTTTTGTTATGAGGCCGACATTCAGAGACCACGTCTCAGTCCCATAAGTCATCACTGGTAACACACACTGGTCATAGACCTTTCTTTTCAGGCACTGGGGAATTTTGGCCGTGAGGATATGCCTAAGCTTCCCGAACGCTGCCCATCCGAGTTGGATCGTCGGTTGACCTCTTTCTCGAAGTTGGATTTGCCCAACTGGACTGTTTGTCCTAGGTAGACGTAATGATCGACAACTTCGAGAATCGCATTCCCAACAGATACTGGTGCTGGAGTGACATGGACATTGAACATGACCTTGGTTTTATCCATGTTCATCCTTAAACCAACCCGTTGGGAAACTCTGCTGAGGTCATTGAGCATTGTGCCAAGGTCCTCCAGGGATTCTGCCATAACCACGATATCGTCTACAAATCGAAGGTGAGTGATGTATTCGCCGTTGATGTTGATGCCGAGTTCGGTCCAATCCAGAAGCTTGAAGACGTCTTCCAATGCAGCGGTGAACAGTTTCGGGGAAATTACGTCACCCTGTCTGACACCCTTCTGCAATGGAATCGGCCTCGTACTTCTCTCCTGGATTCGGACTGACATAGTGGCGTTTCTATACAAACACTTCAACACTTCGATATCGATAGTCAATTTGGCACCGCTGGAGGGACAGCAGCACCGCCCAAGTCTCGACCGAATCGAAGGCCTTCTCATAGTCCACATACGCTAGACACAAAGGCCGATTATACTCCTCGGTCTTCTGTATGATCTGACGCAGCGTATGTATGTGGTCCATGGTACTAAAGCCCTTTCGGAAACCGGCTTGAAGTCGTCGAACCTGCGCGAAAGTCGATTTGTAATGACTCTCGAAAACAACTTATAGACGTGGCTCAAGAGCGAGATAGGTCGATAGTTCTTCAAGCGGGTTTTATCGCCTTTCTTGAAGAACAATACCACCACGCTCCTGGTCCACGCCCCTGGAACAATGCCCCCGAGGATGACAGAGTCGAATAGCTTCTGAAGGGCCACGAGGACCGGCTTACCGCCCGCCTTCAGAAGCTCCGTAGTGATTCCGTCATCGCCCGGTGCTTTACTGTTTTTAAGCTGCTTGAGAGCCATTCTGATCTCGTACAGGCTGACATCCGGGATGTCCTCGGTATAGTGTCGGGTTAGCTTGGATCGTGGATCTTGGACCAAGCCGACAACAGGAGTTTGGGATGTTTTATACAACTGTCCATAGAACAGCTCGACCTCGCTCAAGATCTCATCTTTGGAAGAAATGACAGTGCCGTTGTCGGTCTTCAGTCTGGTCAACTGAGTCTGCCCAGCAGACAGATCTTTTGCGAACACTTTGGAGCCTTCGTTCCGCTCTATCGCCTCTTTAATACGCTTGGTATTGTAGAGTCGAATATCGCGTCGCACAGACTTCGAGATCTGTCTATTTAGCTGCCTCATCTTAGACCAGGAGGCTGGAGACTGCACCGTCATTTCCCTCCTCCACTCCATGAGCTCAAGAGTGTGGTCAGAGAGTTTTCCGGTTCTAGGAGCACGGCGGGTCCTGAAAATTTTTGACCCAACCGTGTGTACAGTTTCCACAAACTTGTTGCTCATATCGTTCGCCGTTTCGCACTCGTCTAGGCATTGGAAGCGATTTTGGAGTTCGAGTCGAAAGCTCTCGGGATTTTCGTACTCGGCAGGTGTGGGACGTAGAGTAGACTTCATCAGTCAGGACCGCTCGGCTTTGACACGAATATTCAATGTGCCTCGTAACATTCGGTGATCGCTCCCGGTTGTATGTGATACAATTCCTAAATATTATTTATTCTATAGATTGACTCTAAATACCTAAATATTCTATAGATTGACTGTATACTTATTATATTATTAATTTGGGCTCCCTTCAAAATTTTCGGGTGATTGTACTATGTGACTCGTGAAATTAAACTTTATCATTAAACAATTGATACAGTGTTTGAATTTAAGAAATTGTTATCTCGTATGGCGTGATACAGCATCATTATCATTACGCTTCAATGTTTCAAAGAATATGCAAAAGAAAAGGAGGCGCTTATCACTGTCGTCCTTTCGTGTTAGCAATTTATTTGTTTCTGTGTTACACCCTCAAATCAAACTATGATGACGTTACATACTTTTCGTACGCATCATTCGACCTTATAAATCAATAGTTAACAAGAGATATCCTTTGATAAGTAAGAATACTTAAGCCTACTTTATTAGTAAACACGCATTGTCTATCTTAAATTTTTCTCGAAGTTTGTATAGACCTTTCTATATGTTTATGTACCGGACCCGTGATAACGAAATATCTTTTCTGTAGATTAAATCCAATTTAGAGTTAAATTAAGAGTTTTTCCGCCTTGGTTGATAGTGACAACCAAATTATAATAGTAAGTAAAGCTATAATTGAGAATAGCCAGAATTGACTGGTACAAATGAATCCTCCATCTATCGCTCGAACAGCAATACGTAGCTGCAATAAATAACTAAGTATTCAATTGATTTACCTTGAATGATATCTCAGGAGTGAGGTCTGGGCGGGGCTTGGCATTGGGCGTAGGAGCCGGTGCTACAAGCTCGGGCGCCGCACTAGTCTCTTCTAGTTGTTCCTTGTAACGCAACGAAGAACTACAGCACCGCACTGTCTGGAACTTGTGCTGATTCTCGAATATCCACTTGACAAGGACCTTTGAACCACCAGTCACGTATTAAATCAATGCGAGAACTCTATATGTTGCTAGGTAATAAATAAACATCTAGACGCTTTCTGGGTATGGTCGCAAAAAATTGTACAAATAACATTCATGACATCGTAACATACGTAACGTACATGACAGAACGTTACATACATGACCATCATAAAGCTTAGTTCATAAAAGAACCTATTATAGTAGTTCTACTGGTACTAAATAGTTCTAGGCCTTTTTTTTATTAACGTTTGGCTTTAGATTTTTTCTTCATATAATATTCTTTGGTTAGCCCATCTTCTTTGTAGTTTTCGTACCAAGAATGTGTTTTCATGAGTTTCAGCACTAACACTTCAGTGATATTATCATTTTTCGCAGTATCTTTTGACTTCATTCTGCGACGATATTGACTGGCTCGCCACTGTTTTCTTTTTATCTTTTATTTTCTTCGGTACATTCCGTGGTTTTCTTTCTTTTTTTATTTTTTTTCTGCATTTTTTGATTTTATTTCTTCGTACTTCGAAGGATTTTGGGTTCGTAACTTTTCACAATATTTTGTTTGCCTTTCGGCATTGGTCAAAGGCATCTGGAATATTTATTTTTAACTAATTTTATCCTACTAATATTATATATGTGAAAGTTTGTATGTTCGTTACTCAATATAGTATACATATATTATGTGTACCAAATTTCGTCAAAATCCATTCAGCCGTTTTTGCGTGATTGAGTAACGAACATATAAACATTCAAAGGATTCTCAAAAAACCAAAGTTAACTCAGACGAAGTCGCGGTAAGGTTATATTTTAAGTAAAATAGTGTAATCTCCGCCTTAGAATCGGTCATCATTGTAACGTTACACATTTCGTTACACATTGTAACATTCATGACACAAAAAAGCGTGCGACAGAACCTAAAATTTAAATATAATTTAATTGCAAACAACTACGGATTGTGACGTAGGGTTACCGTTTTCTGTGATAATACATCTTTCTAAACACGTTAACAGTATACCACAACAAGCAGTACTTACCTTGCAATCAAACATACAAAAAACCATATTTTTTGGCGACAAATCTGAAGTCAACACAAATTACGATTTTTATTCGGAAAAATATAGCCGATTGTTATTTCTGAATGTTGGCGTCTTGCTTAATAGTGTTGCAATTTATGAAAATGGCAAAAATTACCAAATCACATAAAGGAAACTGGTAGAAACAAACGTTACATTCATGACGTTACACACTCATCATAAAATTGGACACTTTTTTAAAAACAATTAAATATGTAACTGAAACGCTATTTTAATAAGCACGTTTAGAAACACATTGAGAAAGTATCATAAAGCATGAGTACAATTTAATATTTACAAAAAACTATTTTTTTTTCGGAATTATTGGCAATTTTTGATACAAAGGTTGTAGTTGGACAAACGATTTTTGTATGGGAGTGAAAGCAGTACTTTTCAAATTATATTTTTTTTACATATATTTTTTAGGGATGGTAGGTTACATTTCGTCAAAATAATCTAAACAGAAGCTCGTCATTCAGAACAATGTTCAACAAATGACATTTATAAAATAACTTCGAAATTATGAGAAAAATAAAATGAGGACAAAACGAAAACGATATTTGTACAATTTTTTGCGACCATACCCTTCTATTGACAATAAATTTAATGGAACACTTTGATTAAGCCAACTATCGACAGTGAAACTACGTAAGTAGGCACCTAATGCTAATTTATTACACAAATTGACTGCCCCGATCTAAAATCGGTTGTTCTAGCAAAGCAAATATCGGACCTCCGGTCGACTCCACCGCTTTTGAATTTGCCTACTTACTTAGTACGAGTTTTAGCGCGCGTCTCGTAAAAGTCTTTCACTAAAAAGACTTTTTATGTTTTTCTCTAAACAATCTCTGAGATGCAAAAATGTAAGTTATGATAAATAAAGAATTTTGATGCAATTTTCCAAATCATCAAATCATAATTCATAGTCAAATTCAATTATTTCCAAAAAATACAGTTTCAATATAATAAACACAAAAAGCCTTCTTATGTCGAACATATAGAATATGTTCTTTCTTATATGTATCTTTTTAGTAAAATTGATCAAAAATCTTCAAATTAATGATATATTATAATTAAAAATTAAAGATTATAATATCCTATTTCACTTACCTTGCTACGGCGCAAAGGCATTTTCAGTTTCACAAAATTCTCTTAAATACACAAAAATAATTATATATAGATACAAAACTGCACTTTTATTTTTCAGTAAAACTAATTCGACTTTTAAGTTATTTTTTTATACGCTCATTCAAATAACGATGTACTTTCATAACTTGCTCAGAGTTAACTGACTTCACTGGGTGTATAGCACAAACATTTAAACGGTAGGTATACGATAAGATTGTGGGCCTAGTGTGACCTGTGACGTATTTGTCATCAACACAAGTTATAAAATAATAAGTATGATAACACAGAATTTAATCAAAATAACGATTACGTATTAGTGATATTTATTTGGTTAAGTTAGTGCGTACTAAACGGGTGGTGGATCCCTGACGCGGCGCGGGGTCGAGTGAAATGGCTGTATTGGGTCACCACCGAACATCCATCCTCATTCACATTTAAATGAATATGTTAATATCGGTAGCGAATATATGCTTATTTACTTACGCAGAACGGTACCAATTTACATTACGATTTATTCAACACAGGTAACTAGCATTGAAATTAATCTACCAAATAGCAGCGTGGGAAATAAATGTGAAAGAGTACACGAAGTACACCAACAAAATTGTAATCCTGACCGAAAATTAATTTATCTTCATGTATGATAAAAAATTTCAGGTTCTTAATCTTCGGCAGGGCTCAGCCACGGTAAGAACCTTCTAATTACTAGAGTTCCCTACCTCATAGCGGATTTCCGTTCCATTTTCGGCAGGGGGTGTCTGTTTATGGAAGTATCATTACCTACTTATAAGTAAAGGCCAGCAAGGTGAGAAAGCTGATGTGCAGCTACACATTTACTTGACGCTTCAGCTTTCATTGCGACTGGACACCACTTACACTAACATCAGGTGGGATGATGTTACTTCCTGCGCATTGTCTAAAAAGAAAACGTCCAAGTCTGTATCAGGTCCATAGAGGTATTAGAATAGAGTGAGGAAGGCGGCTCTAAAAGTGTCCGTCTAGTAGAAAGAGAACGAAGACGAGAGACGGCTAGCCTTTCTCTCTCTAATCGCGAATGCGCATTGGATGAAAAACCTACGGATGAATACCGACCAATCACACGACTGCGCAGCGTCACAAGAGAGAGAGATAGCTAGCTGTCTCTCATCTTCTTTCTCTTTCTACTAGACGGACACTTCCACTTGTAGTAGAGTACATATCTCCCCTACTCTATTCTTATACCACTATGATCAGGTCACGCGCAATATAGTGTTAAATTAGTGTTCCGTCCGTAATTGGCTGTCGCCAGCAACTATATTCAATACCCTAGATACACCAACACGAACAAAATCATGCCCAAAACCTGTCCAAAAGGTACATTGGACGATCCACGGAGCTCCGTAAGATAATCGCATAGTCTAAACAATATAAGTTATTATTTAAACATTGAAAATCACCTTTAAAGTACACTATACAATGTCTTAATCAAAGCGCATGCGTCAAAGAGTTATGACAGTCCGAGATGTAAACTCGTAAAATTTTACGACTTATTGCTATATGCGGAAGAATATAGACCTTATTTCTTTGACTCTACGCGCAATTCTGAATGCGCTGTTAGCAATACAGCAGGTACGGACCGCGAGGAAAGAGACGGCTATATTACCGACTATGCATTTGAGTATCACAAATATTTTCTATTAAATCAGTTTATAGTAAGTATTAGAACAAAATTGGCTTCCAATGCGTTAAATTAACAAACCTTTATTAGATACCTGTCGAAAAAAGTACACTTTACGTGATATAAGTATTTATTTCGCATTTTTTCAAGGAGCTCAGCGGCATGTTGACTATTCAATGTGTGACTGTGAACCAAGAAGTGCTTGAGTCGTGTTCAAGCACTTCTTGATAGGGACACATTTTGAGCACACGTGGTGTATTTAGGTTATTTAATATCGTTGGTCGCCAGTCTAAATACAGATTTGTGATTTTGTGCCCGTTTTATCGCATTTTCCATGATTTCTGCAAGATTTCCGGTGATAACTGTTCACATTCTTGAATGACTCTTTAAAGGCTACGTTTATCTGAAGCTTATTGGCATAAACCTGAGACTTCAAGTAGTCCCAAAGAAAGAAGTCTGGGAAGCTTAAACCGGGCGATATTGCTGGCCATGCCAAATCGCCAAAATGAAGTCGTGCTGTGTGCGATTGCACCGTCTTGTTGAAACCACACAATATGCGGTAAGCACGATACTTCCTAGGAGCATGAACATGACAATTAATTGACAAAGTATCGTGCTTGTCTGTTTGCATTCTGCATCAGCTGCATCAGTCTTAGTACACAAATGTCAAAAATGATTGATGTGCGACGCCATTTGAAATAATTTTAATATCATCAGAGTGATGAATTCTGCGCCATCCTGTATAATATAACCGACTGTTTATGTGAAAGTGTCCTTCGATCTATCTGTCTGCCTGTTACCACTTCACGCTTAAACTGCTGAAGCGATTTACATCTTAATTGAAATTGGTATAGAGATAGTTTGACTTTCAGGAAAGGGCATCGGATAGTTTTTAGTTCCCATGAATAGCTCTTTATGGGAGTGAAAATGCGGTAGGGAGTTTGATTGGGAAACCAATTTTTCCACGCAGACGAAGTCGCGTGCATCCTCAAGTAATTTATAAAACTGAACTGAATTTTGCGAATCTGAAGTTCATGTCCAACAGAAAATGAGAACAGCAGTGTCGTGATTCTATCATATTATTTTATTATATAGGTACTTATTTATTTGGTAAAAATAACAAAAATTGTATCATTATTGGTACAGACTTATTAGTTTATTAATATAGGCATTAGATTTGAGTATGGAAGTAAGATCGTGTAAGTACCTACTTTACTGCATTTTCTCTTTTTTTTTCACAAGTTGCTTATAACCTTTTATTTAGCTTAACCTGTCCCGATGTCTGTTTATCTTTGTGTCGTATCTCAATCCTGCAAATAAAATTTGAATTCAGATTGATCCGAGATTTTGCATTCTAAATTTAATCGGATGAAAACGCAATATTATTGTTATGGAGTGTGATTTGGAAAAGGAGCCGGGGAACGGTCATAAGAACACTAACATAAAACGCCCCGTTCCATAATAAAATGACAAGAGCTGTGGTCGTTCATGATTTCCGGGTCTGATTATGGAACCGGGAAGTGTACATTTGGGCAGACTGTAATGAAACGACGCACTTCTATCCTTTCGGGCTCATTTGATTAGTAGCACTATTATTTGATGCCACCATACGTTAATATGCAAATAGTTGACAAAACGATCACAAATTTAGTAGGTCAAGTTAAATAAAACTAGTTTTTTACGGGTTAATGCACGAAACTTTATTTATTTATTGACGTTTCGTAGCCTTTACAGGTTACGTCGTCGGAATCAAATTTTTATTTAATTTTGTCAAGCTACCTTAGAAAGATTTTTATCTTGTTGTAGTCTTGTTGTCTTTATCGACTTAGGTCTAGTTAGTTGTGTTTTTGTCGGTGAGTAAGGTTTTCAAGTATTCAAGTTTACACAGTTGGGTAGGAAATTGGAGAGACTCTCCCTAAGGGGAGATGCCATCAGCCTGGAATAGCACTAGAGCCTGGAATAGACTATTAAAAGACACGTCACCGCCTTGTGGCCCGCCTTCCCGCACCTAAAACAAAGGTTGCTGCGGTCGACCTTGTCTGGGCAGTTAGTGGCCGCATGACCCCTGCCCATACATCTATAGCAGTGTGAAGGCGGGGGGCCTAAGACTTTCACTCGAGTCAGGCTCCATCCCACCTTCAATACTCCCCCTTCTGCCACCTTTTTGGCCGCACCAACGGGGCACCTTACTGTGGCGACCCTCCTACCCCCCAGTCCAGGGACTATTCCCCCCACCATCACCTTTTCGGCGTGGCAGCCCCCTTTTGCTGCCACCGCCTGTACGATCTCGTCTGCCGTGATGGAGTAGTCCATCCCCACGATACGTAGGTCGGCAACCTTATCAGGCCTGGTGACATCCACCAGGTCTGACAACGCCTCCTCCAGCGGCCTCGCCAGAGCATCAGCCTTTGCGGGACTGTCCGGTCCCGGGACAACCAAGAGCTTTGCTCCCGTCTGGCTATCCCGGACCGTAAGCCCCCCTTCTATCCCCAGCTCCTGCAGCCGGAACTTGTTTTTGGCAGTCTCCATCACTTTGGCGTACGTGACCCCGTTCTTCTTCGCGCCGGCCTGCCGCTGATGGCCACCGCCGCAGTGCTCGGCACCTTCAGCCTCGGCCTCCCGCCATCCGGTCGCTGCGCCTTCTGCGCCGGCGCCCGCGTCCTCGTCACTGCCGGTACGCGGGCCACTCCCGGGGCTGCACCCTTAACTTTTTTATTCCCTTTTTTGACCACAGCACTCCAGGCCCCTTCAGCTGTGGTCGTCTCTCTATCCTTTTGGGCCCTCTGCCGGTCCGCCGCCAGCGGTGGCCTCAATTTCTGCGGCGGCGGGAGCCTCTCCTCTAAGGAGGCCAGCCGAGTGCTGACCATCTCCCCTATGAAAATCATAAGGGAGCGTTTCAGCTCCTCGACGGCCTCCAACGGCACCAATTGTGTGGTTGGAGGAGGTGCAGGATGTGCTTTCTCCTCCATCTGTCTCCTCAGTGACCCCAGTTCTCTTCGCCTGGCTTCGATCTCGGCCTTCATTTTGTGGTTCTCCTCTTTTAGGCGGAGGTTCTCCTCCTCTATTTTTTCCACCAACTCCAACTTCCGTGTGGCCACCTCCAGGAACCATCTCGCCTCACGTGTCGGCTGCAGAATGTTAGATCTCCCAGAGCGTTTGCCATCTTCTATTCTCCCGTCCAGGTGGAACAGGCGCGAGCCGATCGCTTCCGCGAACTGGTCTGCCGTGAATTTATCCACTTCTTCCCACAGGATAACTTTTCCTCCTACCCTTCCCCTTCCGTGTCTTACTCACCTTGGGGGGCATCGCATCGGTCTTGCATCCACCCCATCCTCCTCGTCCCCGCCGCCTCTAAGACGCAGGACATATCTCTCCTCTCCTTCAAACGCCTCGGTAACCAATTTACCACTGCGGGACCCGGTAATCCCGCAGCGCCGGTGGCCAGCCGGAGCGCATAAGCCGCTAGTAGTAAATTTACCAAACTGAGAGCGCCCGGTGTCAGCGGAAGAGCATGACAAACAATTCTCACAAAACGACATTTTCATTACGATTTCCCTCTTCCGGGCGAGGGAACCCTACCTGGCCTCATCAAATGGTAATTTTTGAAAAGGTTTTCTTCCTTGCAGCCCCTCTCCCGAAGGATGGCGGCCCCCGGCCCCACACCACGTGTGGGGTTACGGGTTGGCCGGAAGCGACGCGGAGTTCACGCCGCAACCGCCCTCACCAATGGCGTTTCCGCCTCAACCTATAGAGTCTCGACCACCGCTACCCGGGCTAGCCAGGGCGCCGGCCGAGAGACCCCTCGGGTGATTTTTTAGAGAGGTTGTCTTCCTCGCAGCCCCCGCCTCCAAAGGAAACAGTTCCTTTGCAGACGGCGGCCCTCGGCCCCACACATGTGTAGGGTCACGAGCTTGACCCGACTGCCGCTACCCGGGATACCCAGGACGCCAGCCAATTCAGCTTTTCACCATACAAAATGATACCCAAATTTGGTTAAAATGTAAAGGACTTTGTTTTGATTTTACTATGAGGTTAATAAATAAAACAACCTATAAAATAATCTATACTTATAATAAATCTGTAAACTATCAGGGGGTAATTAGTGATCGACACTGATGCCAAAAATGCAATCAGTAAAAATTTTGTCTGTCTGTCTGTCTGTGTGTATGTTCCTTATAGAAACAAAAACTACTCGACGGATTTTAACGAAACTTGGTAGAATTATTCTTCATACTCCTGGTCAGGTTATAGTATACTTTTCATCACGCTACAATCAATAGGAGCAGAGTAGTGAAGGGAAATGTTGGGAAAACGGGAGAAGTTACTCCATTTTTTCAGCTTCCGTCACGTGTGCAGCCTTAATGGTTAAAGTTACATAGAAATTATGTATGACGGAAATATTCTACATAAAATTGTCTAAAAAATATCCCGCAACAGTATATATCTATCTTTTATGGTTGACTCACAATAACACATGTAACTCCTGATAGCTTAGCAGTTCGGAGCATTCCGATTATATAACGTAAATATGAGAATTTTAGTTTGATTATAAATACAGGTAATAAAAATGACCGTTTTTATCTATATATATATATATATAAAAGTCAAAGGGGACTGACTGACATAGTGATCTATCAACGCACAGCCCAAACCACTGGACGGATCGGGCTGAAATTTGGCATGCAGGTAGATGTTATGACGTAGGCATCCGCTAAGAAAGAACTTTGATCAATTCTACCCCCAAGGGGATAAAAAAGGGAATGAAAGTTTGTATGAAACTTTGTCAATTTTAAACCAATCGGGCTGAGACTTTGCATGCAGGTATAAGAAGAATCATAGATGAATGTCATTGTGTTTAATACAAGCCTGAGAAAAAAAACTATAGTGTACACTTCAGCTCTACACCGAAGCGAAGCGAGGGCGGGCCGCTAGTAATATATAAATTTAAAGAATTCAAGTAGCTACAATAGCCAGGAATAATAAGAATTAAAATAACAAAGAAACGTATGCATTATGAATTTTTATGTTGCTCCTTATAGGTTTGCATCCTAGCTATCTTTGCAACCGTATGACTTATCATTTATCCGATTTTACCAGTAGAAAGAGCACAAAAAGTTACGTATAACTGTGTTCATAACTCAATTTCGTAAAAAAGTGCATTTATTTGGTTTTCGCAGTAAGCAGACGTGTAAGTTTGAATTGTGGTTGATATTTTTCACAAATATTTTTAAACTGTAACTTTTATTACATCACTACAAAGTTTTGTGTTCATCTTTAACATGTAACCATAACATTTTTAATAGTTATAAAAAAAACAACCCTTATCACAAGCAACGATGGTTCAGTGGTAGAAAGCTCGCCTATCACGCGGGCGGGCGCGGCCCAGGTTCGATACACCTTTTTTTCCATTACGTGTGTATCAATTACTGAGTGTTGGTAGAAAAAACGTGTTTCTTGTGGGTAAAATTTTTAGTTAAATGTCTATGACTCGGAAATAATTTAAGGCGATGTAAAAAACTTTTAAAAATTTTACTTCCATCAAGGTATTATATAACACAGCATTCCCAGCCCAAGACTGCTAAGTGTACTGCCAGGGGGAAAAATGTAGCATTAAAGGAAAGACAGAGAAAAAGGGGGAGTGTAGAGGGATGCAAGGTTGAAAAAGAAGGATTGAGAGAATTAAGGAGAGGAAGAAGCTTAGATAACTATGAGGTAGGATTGGAAATAATATAAGATCCAGGCGATATATCCATCCTGGCGATGCCCTTGTACCTTGAACTCATCCCAAGCAATGCAAATAGCTTCTGGGGTGCCTGAGCAGTGTTGCCAGGTGTTCGGTATTCTACCGAACCGTTCGGTATATTAGAACCGTGTTCGGTGTTCGGTATGACAAAAATACCGAAGTATGGACGGTTCGGTATATTTTTATGATTAATTTTACTCCCTTATATACGCAATCGGCAGTCAATTTTGCGTAGCATCCCTACTTAGTTTGTGTTATATTGCCGCTTTGTGCACGCGTTCACTGTTTTTGAGCCATTTCGTGGATTGCGGATCGTGCATGCGGATGGCAGTACCATGTAGTAACGCTTATGTGGAAAGAGTATTTAGCCATATGAATCATTTGTTTACTGACAGCCGTAATAAATTAAGTGTGGACATGGTGAAGGCGAAATTATGTAAATGATGCAATTACAATCTGATATGTCGTGAAATACATGGGACAGTTAAAGAAAATAAGACATTGCTAGAAGCGTGTATTAGTGAAAAAAAGACATTTTTTATAATTAAGGTTAGCTAGTTAATCTTGTGCAATGGTACTTTGTATTTAATAAATAACGATTTAACTGTTTTTTTTTGCTCACTGTTCGGTATATATTTGGAAAAGACCTGGCAACCCTGTACCTGAGGAATCTTAATTATGACGTTTGATTTTTAACATGCATATTCTTAAAAATCATTTAACCTAATTTCAAAGCAAATGACGACGTAAGGCCCGAAGTTAAGTTAGGTAGTTCGAGTAGGATGTTTTCAATGAGGAAGTAGGTACAGCGCTTTAATGCTTGAGACCTCATCGGCAGACCCCTCTTTCCCAGTGGGCACTTTGGGCAAGTGCCCAGGGCTCCGCGATCGATAGGAGCCTCCCACAGATTAAATACAAAGTCCGTAGTTCCTGTCAGATCACCAAACGATAACCAATATTTATTACCAAAAAACCTATATAATTCGACGAAATCGAACCTAAATTACTGACTACAGTACCAACTTACTAGCTTATACATAAGCGAAGCTTTCTACTCTCGCCCAAAAACATAAGCTTTCCGACTTCAGCATGCTTAGATAAATTTAAATATACATAGTTTATTGGTATACTAAGCACATACATACACATTTTAAAGAAAAATCGTAGTACGCTCATCAGTACAACTCGCTCGATTTCAAGTCATAATCCACATCAAAGTTATAGAGGCCCCATTATCCTTATATGCCCAGGGCCTCCAATAGGTTAAAGACGGCCCTGCTCATCGGTGACTAGCGACTTTGAAGTCTTTCTTGAGTACCTGGACAAATGCTTATAAAATTTGGCAGCTCACAAAACGTGGGCCCTTTTGCCGTAGCGGCAGAAGCTGAAGTCAAGACTCAAAGGGGCGCGGCGTTATGGCGCTGAATTTAACAAATAATAAATAAAAATTAGAAGTTAGGACACTCAGTACTATTTCTTTTTTTAGCAGTGCTTTTGTTTTATTGTTGTTTAGACCATAATTTGCCTAAATAATATGCGAACACTGTGCATGTGTGGGAATCTTTTCCTCGCTCATCTCGTCCAGATTAAGGATTCAGCAAAATGAGCAGGGCTAGGGCTCTGTTCTGGTTTCAGTGGGTAGGCCCACTTGAAGCCACAGACAAAAGGTACCTACTTCTGCACCGGTCACCCGACATACATTTTAAGAAGCAAAGTCAACGATATTAAATACGCTACTACAAAATCGTGGCCGAAACCTGTCCAAAGGGCACATTGGGATTCCACGGAGCTCCGTAACATGATCGCGTTGTCAAAAACAATATAAGGCATTATTTAAACATTGAAAGTCACCTTTAATGCATACTCTATATGGTCTTAATTAAAACGCATGCGTCAAAGAGTGACAGTTCGAAACGCAAGATCGTAAAAATTTACTTGACTAATTGACTATAAGAGGAAGAATAGTATTAGATTTGGAAATGTGACGTCACGAAACCACCCCATGTCACACTTCGTGGATCCCCTCCCTTCCCCTTAACATGTGACTTACTTTAGGGATGACCCCTAAACTAAGCTCTACCATTTACAGACAACAGTCATCAATACTAAAATATTTACAAGTGTAGCCTATAACCCATACATCAGGATAATAATCATCTTTACCTAATCATTTTTTACTAGAAAAAAAATGTACTCGGTTCCGTTTTCAGACAGGATTCGAACCCGCATCTTCCGCCGGGATAGCAGAAGTCTGAAACCTATGCCGAGTGTAATTTTAATTGTAGTTACATTTTCTTTAGTTTTAACCATCTAGCAGTTAAATTCTTATTATATACAATAAATGATTGTCATTTATGTAGACTATGGACCAATTGCATTCCCATTCCACCAATTGTTCTACTGGTAGGGCCATGTTAAACCACTATGTACTTTTTTAGTCTATTCCTGCAGTCACATTTTTGACCAACAACACAAATCAACAACCAAATTTTGAAAAAAATACTGTGGTACAACCAGGTAGTACAGGAAGATTGTTGATGAACAATAATTTTATGAAAACCATCGTTGTAACAATTGTTAACAATCGATAACATTATGTTTTAAAATTTTAATAAATAAAATTAAGTCCACAAACTATAACAAAAACTTCAATTTCAAATATCGCTGGAAATGGTGTTAACATTTCAATAACAAATGAAATTTTTAAACTCTACCATGACACAATTTAACAAGATATCACAATTAATAGAGATTAGGTTGTCTTAAAGATTCTCTGGTTTCATTCTTTGCATGCTTTTTTAACATATCCATGATTTCATTATCAAACTCCTTTGGTGTTGGTGATTTTTCAACAATCCAGTGGAAGAGATCCCAGTCATTGCTTGGTGAGTTTATGAGCCGATCGTACATCATAGTCTGCTGTTCATTGAAGTTATCCAAGTGCTTCTTAGCAAAAGTGCTAAGCAAAAGATCATTCTCCAGCATCCCTCTCTTCCTAGACTGGTAATGGAGCCTGAAAAATTATGATGTCATGGATAGTTCATATAAAACATTTGCTCTACAGGTTTCAAAATAATTGTACAACCTGATTACCACAAAAAAAAAATATTAGGTAATTTTGTAGGTACTGAAGTTAAGCCATAAAAAAATATTTATATTATAATAAATTTATTTAAAAATTAATTAACGTTTGCTAGAAAACCAGTTTTTAACATTAGAAACTATACCCAAAGTAATTAACAAAAACGAAAGATTTATATACCTAGCTTTACGAATCTCTAGAGGCTGAGGTTTTTCAACGTCATACAAGGGAATTTCCAAATATGTCGTGTCCACATAATCAGAGGTACTACTGCTCATGAAGGCTACGTTTCTAAACTTTTGTACTAAATTCAACACCTGAAAAATAAGTTCGAGATATTTAAATGTTAAAGTAAAATTAAATTGGTTCCCATATATTTTGTTATTTTTACGAACTAACGGGTCTGTAACGCTGCATGATTGAATCAGTTAAATATAACAACTTATCGGGAACAAAATGCAAGTAATTTTTCCAAATTCCTAGTTTTTCATATGGCTTTATTTCGTCGTTCGTTTAGTTTATGTCATGTCATGTCACTGTCACATGTTTTTTTTTTTATTAAGTTCTCCCTTTTCAGGAAGGCAAGGGGAACAATACCCATACAGCCTAGTCTTAAATTATTCTGTTTTTCTTTTTACATTAGAATATCGGTGTGACGCATTCTAATGTTTCTTGAAGTGTTTGGCACGAAATGTATCGAGCTGGCTTTTTCGATAAGCTTCTGTGAGGTAGTCAATACTACAATATAATTCTCACGTCCACTTGACCGGAATAGCGTATATTTTGACGATTCTACTAATTCTTCAGTTACGCAGACAGTTGGAACACAAAATCACACCAATTTTATTTCACAATATCTACTATGAACGAATTTAAGAATAATTAAAATAAGACGCCAACCACACTCGATGAAATCCCGCCAAAAACTATGTAATTTTTTTTAGGTTTTACGGACGTGAACACATGTAATACGGATGCTCCTTCCAGTTGTTATGTAATCTGAGAATCGATTATCATCAATACCGATACTATGGGCCTGATTCTGCCATGATTCTATAAACCTTAAACTAATGTTAATTTGCTTTGCTATTTTAATTGTAACTTTGACGATGCTGAGTCTCTTTCATTCCCAATCGTATGAACAGGTTAAAGATTTACATGTGTTTGATCGGTTCATGAACTATCTATTTATGATACTTGGACCAATAATCGATTACACGTGGAGTTTCTTGAGTCACTATAATGAAACAGTGATTAAAAGCCCTTGGTAGCGTGCTTCTCGCTTGGTTCGTTTAACTTGATGGGGCTGTCTATATCGGGTTCACACCAGGTGATTTTAGTTGATCAACTACTAAACCTGAACCGTCTGAACAGACTTGTGATCAAATTAAAGAAAAGCAGTTGAATGATAAAAGTTGATCAATTTAAATCGACTCGTGGGAGACCGGTATCAGTCATTAATACGCAAGGGTACGGCCAGAGTGCACTCAGATTCAGATTCAGATTTCGAAAACAAGCGCGAGATATAAACAGTGTAGTCGAAGGGTACGGCCAGAGTGCACTCCTGATTCAGATTCAGATTCAGACTCAGAAAACAAGCGCGAGAAAAAGCAGGCAACCTGCTTAGACTACACTGTTTATTTCTCGCACTTGTTTTCGGAATCTGAGTCTGAATCAGATTCAGATTCAGACTCAGAAAACAAGCGCGTGAAATATACAGTGTAGTTTAAGTAGGTTGCCTGCGGCCACTATGGCCACCGCACTTGTTTTCGGAATCTGAATTTGAATCTGAGTGCACTCTGGCCGCACCCTTAGGGTACGGCCAGAGTGCACTCAGATTCAGATTCAGATTCCGAAGTTTAAATGTAGTCAGTGTAGTCGAAGGGTACGGCCAGAGTGCACTCCTGATTCAGATTCTGTTAGTTATGGTCACTTGACATTGTCACTTAAGAATTCGTGATGTATGAAGAAAAACTAATGTCATGTAACGTTGTGATAATTTTCCTTAAATAAATATTATGCGCACAAAGCTCTATATTATTAATAGGTTATGGGCCGCATCACCCATAAAAGTGCAGAAAAGAATGAAATGAGATAAAGAAAATAAATAAATATTATTTATCGAAAAAGTAGAACAGAATTTGTAAAAAAAAAAAAAAAGAAAATGGCTGCTAGTACGACAAATTTTCCGCAGCTACATGCTGAAAATTACAACAATTGGCTTTTTAGAGTACGTTGCATATTAGAAGAAAAAGGTCTAAATGAAATAATAAATGATACAGAAACAAAAAGTTCTGATTTTTCGACTAAAGATGCAAAAGCCAAAAATATTATCGTACATTGTTTGCCAGACAAATATTTGAACATTATTAAAGACTGCGCTACGGCCTTCCAAATGCTAGAAAGAATAAATGATACATTTCATAGAAAAAGTGTCATAACGAAAATTCACTTCAGAAGAAAATTATTAAATATAAAACATAGTAATACAGAAAGATTAGAAGAATATTTTTCGACATTCGATGATATAGTCAGAGAGCTACAGTGCGCGGATGAAAAAATTAGTGAGATGGATAAAATATGCTATTTGTTGATTGGATTAAGTGAAAAATATGATAATGTAATTACAGCGATCGAAACATTGAGCAATGAAAACCTAAAATTAGAATTTGTTAAATCAAGACTATTAGACGAGGAACTGAAAATGACAATGGCAAAGTCAAATGAAAACTCCAAATCAGATGACACAGCTTTCATCACATGCTATCGATGTAACAAGCACGGACATATAGCATCACAGTGCAGAGGCAGAGGTCGAGGTAGATATAGCAGACGTCAGACGAATCAACGTGGTAGAGGTCACCATGATTATGAAACGAGACAGGATTATTTAGCAGCTACCACCGCTTTCAGCTTCATCACTTCAACAGAATACTGCAATACATCGTACAAAGTTGGAGAGATAGAATGGGTAATCGACTCAGGTTGTACGGATCATCTTGTTCAGGATAAATTTGAGAATAGTATGAGTAACATCGAAAATTTAGAAAAAGAGGTAAAGATTCATATTGCTAATGGAGATTTCCTTATAGCTAAAAAGGTAGGTGAAATTAAATTGTTGGCCAATGGTCATATTACAGCTCTTAAAGCGTTAATTGTGAAAAACTTAAAATTTAACTTATTATCTGTAAATAAAATTCTAGAAAATGGTTATACTGTTAATTTTAACAAAGATAAAGTTTATATAAATGATAGGTCTGGTAAATTTCTGGTTGGTCTAAAGCAGGGTAAATTATTCACTCTAAATACAGAACTTGCTCTTAGTGCAGGAACTAACTCTGACTATCTATGGCATAGGCGCTTAGGACATCTTAACCGACGTGGGTTGAAGATACTCAAACTTCCCGTAAGCAATGAGGTATGTGGACCATGCATGCAAGGTAAAGCTACTAGATTACCTTTTGTTCCAGTAGCAAGACCAAGATCTCGAGCTATAGGTGAATTGATTCACACTGACATAGCAGGACCAGTGAATATTCCAGGAATATACGGACATCTGTACTATCAAGTAATAATTGATGATTATTCGCATTTTTTAGTGGTCAGTCTACTCAAGCACAAAGGAGAGGCAACAAACAATTTGATAAATTATATAAACAAAATTGAAACACAGTATGGGGCAATAGTAAAGAAGATTAGATGCGACAACGGAAAGGAATTTAGAAACAATACTTTAGAACATTTTTGCAAAAATAAAGGTATAGATATTCAATACACGCAACCATACTCACCACAACAAAACGGAGTCTCTGAACGCATGAATCGAACACTGTATGACAGAGCTAGAACCCTAATGGTAGAGTCATGTTTACCTAAACATCTATGGAGTGAGGCAATAATGGCGTCAGCATATCAAATCAACAGATGTCCTTCATCGACAATAAATTTCAGGACACCAGCCGAATTGTTTTTAGGCAGCAATGATCTTAGCAGATTACGTGCATTCGGAAGTAAAACATGGGCTGTAATTTTACCAAGGAGATCCAAATTTGAGCAAAGAGGTCGAGAGTTACGAATGGTAGGTTACTCAAACAATGGTTATCGTCTATGGAATCCAATGAATAATCAAATCGTAGAATCGCGTGATGTTCGTTTTGATGAGAGTGATGTGACATTTAAGGAAAGTAAAGATAATAAGAAAGAAGACACAATATGGACTGAGGAAGAAAAAGTAGAAGAAACAGAAGAGATAAGTAAGGAAGGAGCTTCACATGAACAAGATAGAGAAGAAAATGATAAAAAAATTGTAGAAGAGAGAACTGAAGAAAGTGTCAATGAAAATGAAACAGAAATAGAAGAATTAAAGAAAACTAGATCTGGAAGACTTTGTAAAACACCAACGTATCTACGAGATTACGATTGTGACGAAGACGTAGTAAATGAATATGAAAGTAATATTGCTTATTGTTTAATGACAGATCCTCAAACGTATGAAGAAGCAATTGAAGGAGGAAAGGAATGGCAAGATGCGATTGAGAGTGAACTTAATTCTTTGAAACAGTTAGATACATGGGAAGAAGCAACATTACCAAAAGGGAAGAAAGCTGTTGATACCAAGTGGGTTTTTCGAACAAAACAAGGAGGAAAGAAGAAAGCTAGATTAGTGGCTAAGGGTTTTCAAACAGAAAATAGATATAATGTTTACTCCCCTGTTGCTAGGCTGTCTACATTAAGGATGATGTTTTGTTTAGCAGTGCAAGAAAACTTACCTATGAAACAACTTGACGTACCCACAGCATTTTTGAACGGAGATTTATCAGAGGAAGTGTATATAAAACCACCAAAAGGAGTAAAGATTAATAAAAACAAGGTCCTTAAATTGAAACGTTCATTGTATGGTCTTAAAGAAGCACCGAAATGTTGGAACGAGAGATTTCATAACTTTATTATTTCCCAAAATTTCGAAAGCTCTAAATATGATTTTTGTCTGTACACAAGTTCAAAAACGTGGATACTTATCTGGGTAGATGACATTATTGTGATGGGAGATTATGAACCAATAATAATTGAACTAAGAAAAGAATTCAACGTGAAGGAGATGGGAGATATCAGTGAATATTTAGGAATGGAAATATCAAGGAAAGAAGGAGAATTGGCAATTAAACAAGAAAAACTAGTGAAGAAGGTATTATCAAGGTTTGGAATGGAAGACTGTAAGGGAGCATTAACACCCATGGTAGCTAACATAAATTTAGAAGAAGAAAAGATAAATGATGTGCCTTACAGAGAGCTTATAGGATGTCTTACGTATATATCAACTACTACTCGTCCAGATATAACATTTGCAGTTTCGTTTCTCAGTAAATACTTAGATAAACCTACAAGATCTATATGGACAGCAGCAAAGCGTGTACTTCGATACCTAAAGTCTACATCTAGTAAAGGACTGCTATACACACAAGGAGTGGATGATAAAAATAAGCTCGTAGCATATAGTGACGCAGATTGGGCATCCGACAAAGCCGATAGAAGAAGTGTGAGCGGATGTGCTATATTCTATTCGGGTAATCTTATTTCTTGGTTTACCAAAAAGCAGAACACTGTTTCTCTATCGTCTGCAGAAGCGGAATATATAGCGGGAGCAACAACAACGGCTGAGATAATATATCTGCAAGGTATTCTCAACACATTTAAGTGTAAGGATGTTCACACTTATCTGCTCATAGATAGTCAAAGTGCAATTCGCATGATAGAGTGTAACGAAAATAGCAAACGCACTAAGCATATCGATATAAAGTTCCATTTTGTCAAAGATGCTTTTATCCAAAAGAAATTTAGAATGTCATATGTTTGTACTAATGATAATGTAGCGGATATATTTACAAAACCTCTCAATTCTGTAAAGCATGCCTACTTTGTTAGAAAGTTAAAAGTTGAGTAAAAATAAGTGTTATATATAGGTTGTTCTAATTTGGTGTTAAGTTATAGGTGCTGTTAATAAATTGAGTTAAGTAGGTAGTGGTAATTTTATGTTATGATTTTTATTTGAGAGGAGGCTTTGTTTGTTTAAGTATGTAAATATTAATAACTATTAGCAATATCAAATTGTTTGCAATTTAACATTGAGAGGAGGTGTTAGTTATGGTCACTTGACATTGTCACTTAAGAATTCGTGATGTATGAAGAAAAACTAATGTCATGTAACGTTGTGATAATTTTCCTTAAATAAATATTATGCGCACAAAGCTCTATATTATTAATAGATTCAGATTCAGACTCAGAAAACAAAGCGCGAGAAAAATGCAGGTAACCTGATTAGACTACACTGTTTATTTCTCGCGCTTGTTTTCAGAATCTGAACCTGAATCTGAGTGCACTCTGGCCGCACCCTAAGCCTGCTGTTCTAGTATTTATGTGGTCTATGGTGTTGGGTGTGTATGGGTTGGCAGCACTGACAAGCCGTATCCATGGTAACTAACTTTGTCAACACTACGGTGACTGATTTTGGGTCGTTTGAATTTTAAGAATTTTATTCAAAATATTTCTACATAAATTCATAATGCCCTAGAATATTTAATTGTTCGGTGTAGATTTGATTCATCATCATGTCCCTTGTTCGCAAATTTGTTTTGCTAACTACTGGTACGTATTTTATTGACCAACCTACTTCAAACCTAAATTGAATCTGAGTGGATTTTAGTTTCTCATTTATTTTACGTTATGTACTTTCTCTTTTACTATATGGGATATTATATTTCAGAACATTTTTTCAATATCTATAATTTGGATTACAACGAAAGAGCTGAGGAAGCTCTGACTGATTTTGTACATCATTCACAGACATTATTGCTACAGAGTTTCATTAGCGATAATGCCTTGGTGCTTCATACAAAGGTTTATATTATTAATATATATCCCTTACCCTTATAGTGCAAACTTTAAATAATACTATAATATAATAAACTATAAAAACAAATACTTAATGCCTAACCATTTTCCAGATGCAGTTTGATCAAAAGAAATCTATCATATTTTATAAGTCTAATGCTTTGGAGCTTAATTCAGAAAATTCAATGGAATATATCAACCTTATTACTGTAACAAATAAGGTTGCCGAGTCCCTGTATCAAATTGTAAAACAAATTTATTCACCTCTGCTAGCAAATGTGAGTTAACAACATTTTGATTTTAAATACATTATTATTCAAAGAAGTACTTGTCCCAAGTTTTATTTATATTTTACAATGTAGTAGTTGAATTATAATTTTATTTTAATTCGATAAAATATTCAATTTCTTAATCTTCTTTTAAATTATACTCACCTCTGTATGTTTTAGGACTATGGTTTAGTTTCCCACAACATACAAAAGAATCTTTCAGATTTGGAAACCAATTTAAGGATTATAACACATGGTAAAGCAAATGAAAATATAAATGGTAAGGTTTAAAATTTTACTGTAATTATATGGTATCTCAAAACTTTAAAATTATTAAAAATGACTGATTAAAAAAAATTTTTTTAGTGATACTGACAATCGAGGATGAAGTAGAATATTGGAAAGGCATTTCAGAAAAAAAGAACACTAGTAAAAAAGAAAGAGATAATGCATTAGCTTATTATGAATTGTTTGAAGATATTTGTGAAGAGCTAAGGTTTCACAGTTTTTGTATTACATTGCATTGCTTAAGTAGTCAATAAATGATATTAGTTGGATTTATATTGTGGACTTTGATCTTAAGCGTTATATAATTGTGATCAGGACTTTATCACATGTAAGACTATTGTTAAAAAATAAAATATTACTAACACTATATGGACTCTGGTTCGAAATAAACATATTTTATTTTATTTATTTATTTATTACTTAGATATCTCTCACTTTAATGTCTAAATAATGCATCTTTTGCTCTATGCCTTGTTGGGTAACAAAGATAATGAAGCTTTAAGTATTTATATACTATTTGGACGCTCCTGTACTCTTTATACTGCTTATTGTTTAGGTCAATGCAAGCAAATAATATTTTTGAAATAAGGGAGTCAACCGAAAACATTGGTGGTATTTTAGATGATATTTGGAGATTAACAGCTGTAGCATATTCTGAAGACAGAATGATGCATATTATCAACATCATTGGTATTAACTGATTAGTATTCAATTAATCAAAGATTATTTTCTCCATATTGAAGTAATCCATAAATAAAAAAATTCCCAGGTCATTCAATTTGTACAATCATTCAGAAATCTATCTCCTCTTCTGATTTGTGGAACGTACAAGATGATTCTAAGGAAAACATGGTGTTACTGCTGTTAGCAGATAGTTTAGGCGTTATAAAAACCTGGATAAGTGCAAGTAAATCTCTTACTGAAACCTACTGGCCAAATTATGCCCTTCACACCTGGAGTGGAAAACCTTACATACCACTATTTTGTTTAAATTTTGAAAACAGATTGAAAGAGGTATTTTTCTTTAAATAAAAATGGTTATTTTCATTTAACTTATCAGTTTTGCACATTCTTATATATTTTATTTTTTCAGGTGTATGAAATAAGATCAACGTACAGTCAGTTAAATAAATTACTAACAATTAATGAAAGGGAAGAATTAAAAATTAGGGACTTATTTGAACCTTTCAAAAGTAAGAAATATCATATATTTTATTATGTGGATACATTCTGTGGTCGTTAAGATGAACATCTTTTCTTTTACAATGTTCAATCACAGGATGGATGAAAATTATCTCGAGAACCTTCATGTTTCGGCAGACGTGTGAAGCCGTTGGTCAAGGCTGCATCTGCAGGCGTCAGCACCCACCAATCGGCACTGCCCGACTGGCCATCGTAGTAGCCTGTTTTGCCTATTTTAATAGACTGATGATGAAAAATATCCCCTGTATTGTACTTAAGTTAGCTTGAATTATTATAAGTGAGAAAGTATGTAGACAACACAGAAAAAACACAAACCAAAAAATACAGAGAAGTTATGGAATCACATACCTTTAAATAAGGTCTTGGGATAAAAATGACATTCTCTGTATTTTTTGGTTTGGTATTTGCCATGTCTGATTCCTTATACCTAGAATCTCGCACAGCATCTTTTACAGTATGGTCAATGCAATGTTGTAACCTTTGATTATTTACTCTGTAGATAGAACGTCACCTTGTTAACACTGCAATAAAAACAGGACAGGTTTTATATGCTTGTGTGTGTGTGTGTCACAACAAAACACGCGAATCTTGTATCTTACACTCGCGAAATGACAGTTTTATTACAAAAAAATGTTTTGTGTTCGGTTCGACGGCCCTCTGTATTTCTACAGGCTCACGCTGTGTTTCCACTGCTGCGGTGGCCGTTTGTATTTGGTCTTTGTGTTTGTTAGTTGTGGACTGCAGGGCTTCCCTTTTCGCGCGCCGGTTGGGGCGACTGCGTTCTGTTTGGCCCTGCGAGCCTTTGTGTGGGTGACTGTGGGTGACTGCCGCATTAGCAGTCTCCCTTTTGCAGGGGCGCTTATGGGCGACCGCAGACCACTGTGTTGTTGTTGTAGTTGTGGATGTTTGTGTTGCTGTAGTTATGGCCTCCCGGAGTGCAACTCGTCGTTTTTTTTATCTTAAGTTAAAGGTTTAAGCCTATAGTGTACACAATGTTACCCGTGTGGGGTTCAACTGTACTCACCTCCCACCCTAGATATCGTTATCAGAAATATACGCACCAGAATAGAACCGTATGATTTTCCCGTCGCACAATGCTCGAGATGAAGGGGAAAAAAATTTCTCTTTAGCCTTATACATTTTTCAGAACATTATAATAACTTATTTATACCTTTAAATCTAAAGAAAAGTTTACTAGAAATTTCTTTAGATTTAAACATCTAGCAGTTAAATGCTTAAAAAATAAATAAAATCATTATTTATACCTTCTCAATAAAAAAATCAATGTCAAGCCCCTGAAAACAGATATAAATTGCAGACTTTACTTGTTTGTCATCAGATTTTTTTAATCGAAGCTCTGTCTTCATTTTTGAAACTCCATACTTACTTTTGATTTTTCATATTTTATCTTTTGGGGAATTTTGTAATGAGACACTGACATCACTTTAAAATGTCAAGATGGAGTCGTAATTTTTGTAACTGATAGGATGTTATAGTTTTATTTTTTTAAGGTGAATAATGAGTTACTTATCGATGGTAAGTGACTTTGTTGGTTATTTTTATGCATCTTTTATAATTTCGGCAAACTTTTATTGCACAACTCAGTATTTTTAAGCAATAATGTCAACACCAAACTCGGTAATTGACGTGCGTAACGCTCAGGGTTGCATTGAACACTAACTCCCTTATTAATAAACAAGGAATAAGCTAAGACTAGTTATGCCGTATTTTTGTTCAAGTTACTCTAATGCCATTTGCCATTCAATGGACAGAGACAAAACATGGAGTTACTAATCCAAGCGTAATCTTAGTTTATTAATAGGGGGGGTAAGTGTCGGGAAACAACTTAAACCCCACCAGGTGGAGACATTTTTTTCAACGCATCTGCGCTGCAACGCTCTATTTAGGGAGGAAATAATCATAGGTTGTATCCCATTAAATATTTGTATGTATTATCATAAAAGCTTATTAGCATGCTATAAGTACCAATGAAAAAAATAAAACACGGTTTTTAATATGCAGATATTAATATTTGGATATATAATGGGCCAAATCAGGTATGGAAAGCTGCTGTGTCATGCTTTTCAACAAATTTACGACCTGCTGAAACAAAAATTGCAGAGAAACTGAGGCCTCGTCTGCATAACACTTCAACAAAACAAGTAAGTGTTAATGTATTCATTCAAACCAATTTCAGTAAACACTCAGATATAAAATTCTGTATCTACCTCGCACAAGATAGAATTTCGAACAAAAGCTTTCATGAGTCCTGTGGGCCAATCGCCTAACCAGATTGCTTTGGAAAACGCTATCGCTTACGATTTCATTTTGTTATTTCTAACCGCCGAAATACCTCACGCTCATTTTCTTTAACATTGTTATTACCAATGCAAAAGAAAAAAAAAGAGCGCGAGGCATTTGAAAACCTCAGGGGGCTAGAAATAACAAAATGAAATCGTAAGCGATAGCGTTTTCCAAAGCAATCCAGTTAGGCGATTGGCCCCCTGTTTTGCGCTTTGTGCAGCCAGTAGGTTGAAACCTTGATAATAGTTTCGGGCGACCCTAAAAAATAACTCTGTCATTGTAATCAAACTTAAGACAAAACTGATTAAGGAATGCATCATGCTAGTCTTTTCACATTGGAAAACGGAGCTGAAAGTTATGGTCAGATAATAGCGGAACGAAAGCGAAGCTTGGTGGATACTTAGCCCGAATTTAGGGAGAATGATGGCAAGACAGGAGATCCATGGCGCGGGTGGTTAGCACGTTCTGCCTGCGATCGTGGAAGTAAAGCAACTTTCGCAATGGTCAGTCATTCGATGGGTGACCAAAAACTTATAATGTCTAACTCCTCCGTATTTTGAAAGGCACTTTAATCCGATGGTCCCGGTTGCATCTGCTGTCGTTAGCATCAATCCGCACTGGTCCGCGGGTCGGGAGACGGCCCAATCTCCCTATTCCTTTCATAGGGACGGCTTGTGGCCCAACAGTGGGGGCATTAATAGGCTGGTGATGATGATGATGGGCAAGACAGATTCTCGTATGGAGGCCATGAAGGAATAAAAGTCCTCCCCAATAAACGATGTTTGAACGATATTAAGGGATACCCAGATCATAACTAGATAACCAAAGTATAAGACTGAGAAATAACTAAACTGAATTTAGAAATGGACAAACGCAGCACGCACTATGATTACAATGATTTCCACAATTAAGCTTATGTATTTACTATTCACAGATGTTGTACGAGTTTATGAGATATAAAGCTTTGATTAACAGGCCGATAGTAAAGCGCGAATTGAACAATGAGCTCGAAGTTTTCATATCATCATTGATATCCTTGTTGAAAAGCATTAAAAGCCAGCTTGATTCCGATGAAATAGATGTACAGATGTACCAACCTCCCGAGATGTCACCAGTCGTACAACAAGTTCAGTGGGCAAAACATATGGAAGGCAAAGTAAGTTGCGCACTCTGTTTTAAAATTGGATTTTGGGACTTCTGACCGCTTGAATTTAGTAAATGAAATCGCCTGAGCAAAGTCAGTGTCTTGTTGATATATAGATACAAACGCAGAAGCGCAGCTCCATAGAAACAGGCGCACGCACATGCAGACGCGAATCTTGATATTAAAAATCAATGACCTTCCAAGATTATTAATTGTCCTCAACTTCTTAGTGAAATAAGTTTTAATATACCACGACCAAATTTCAGACCAGCTAACTATAAATTATTTAATTTAAATACTTATAAAACCAACCTGGGTATGCAGTGTGTTTTAAATACGATTTGTAAAGAACATAATAAAACTGTACCCCTAGCACGAACCATTATCGAACGTTTGCAAACCGAAATGTCAATGTAAAATTTTGTATGGAGTAAGTGTGTGTGGAGTTGTAAGAAGGCCAAAGGGGAAGATCTTCCTCCGAGCTGGGTGATGTTAGCTCGGGGACCGCGGCCCGACTGATGTTGGTCGGGCATCGTATATATGAAGAGTTAGCCTTCGAATTTCATTTGCGCGATGTAGGCTTCCATACAAATATTGATCGCAGTGCAGGTAAACGCCATCTCTTGAGGATGGTGAGTAATGATTTCCTTCATCCGTTGTAAATATGTGGGGCATATAGATGTCGCCGCCACATCACTCCCCTCCGAGACCGGAGGTCGATAGTCAGTGTTTTCAGTTGTCAGTGCGTCAGTCAAGCTTGCAAGTGCCAGTGTGCTGCAGGATGCCCCAGTCTGCGGTGAGTCGAGACGGGTGGGGTGAAGGCGCGTCGCCAGTGCTGCAGAGTTGCTCCAGTCTACGGTGAGTCTAGACAGTTGGAGTGTGACGGTGGGTCCGAGCTGCTGGTGTGCAGGGCTGCCACGCCGGTGTGCTTGCGGCCGACAAGTGAGGTACCGGTCGTGGGCTGCGGAGACCAGGTCGGGATGATGCCGTCGAGTGCTGCCGAAGGTCCAGGAAGCGTCGTTGTGAGCTGCGATGGAATCTTGAGGCTGATGCTGGCTTGCTGTGTGGCTGCTGATGTTGCTTGACCTGATGAGGAAGGGGTATGAGGTTTGATGGCTGCGCTGCGATGGTTGAAGGTTGCTTCTTGCTGCTGCTGTGCTCAGTCGAGGGTCACCAGTGTAAGAAGGCCAAAGGGGAAGATCTTCCTCCGAGCTGGGTGATGTTAGCTCGGGGACCGCGGCCCGACTGATGTTGGTCGGGCATCGTATATATGAAGAGTTAGCCTTCGAATTTCATTTGCGCGATGTAGGCTTCCATACTAATATTGATCGCAGTGCAGGTAACGCCATCTCTTGAGGATGGTGAGTAATGATTTCCTCCATCCGTTGTAAATATGTGGGGCATATAGATGTCGCCGCCACAGAAACTTGATCAGCAGTGGCACAAAGTACCACGTAACGAGACCTAAAAATCAGTACACATTTGACAATGACATTTCGGACTCGCAAATGATACGAATTCGATACTGGTTCGTTCGTGGGTCCGTGGTAGGCGTTCTATTGTTCGCTGCGTCATTGATTGCATTTAGGAGGGCTTTGCTATCGAGTATTGATTGTGAAACTTGATTATAGTTTAGTTTTATGTTTTTTATACCTAGTTTAGATTTTATCATTAATTTTGACAGAAATAAGAGTTGTGTATGCCTGTAACTGTTTTTGCATAACTTTATGTATAACGTATGTTTTTTTTTAATTATGTTGGGTGTAATGGTAAACATGTTGGCATGCCAAATAAATAAATAAATTATTTGTAAGCTGTTGTTAGTGAGCTGCTGCTTTGAACTATTTATAAGGTATAAATATCACAATATTAAAAATATGTTACTTATTTAAACAGTAGTATTGTGTATAAATTTAAACATTTATTCCCACATTTATAAACAAAGATATTCTTACACTATATTCTATTCACGGAACGAAGTAGTACTAACGAAAGCTTAGCTTTACTGTCATTGGCTGGAATAATTACTTCGGCCAATGACAACCCCTTTTCTCGTGTTACATAGTTTTCCATCCTTGTCTTTTATAAGCGATTGTGTAGATAATAAAGAAAGCGGTCAAATAACTAGTTTCCGGTAGTCTAGTTCCTGGCTCGACTATAGTTACGAAGATATTTGTTCTCAATCACAAAAATTACATGTGTAACTGGATGAACAGACAAAACCCTGCGTAATGAATTATTTTAAATAGGCATTAATTGTAAAAGTACTATTCAGACTGACGTCTGTTTCTTTTTAAAGATAGTATAATTGTTAACTATAAAAATATATTGAGAAATGAGTAAGCATATTATAGTAGAATGAATGATTGTTAGATAGTAATAGTTATATAAGCATGTTTAATATGTGGAGGTTTTTAATTGGCTGTTAGATAGTGTTTTTTGTTAATTTAATACTAATGGCCCGCCCTCGCTTCGCTTCGGTGTACAGTTGCAGTGTAGGAAGACTATAGTTTTTGTTCTTAGGCTTGTATTATACACAATGAATTTTTTTATATAATTATAAACTTTCCATGATTTTTTATAGAAAGGTCCGACAAATGACTTCACCCTACCTGATGTTAAGGGACGGTGAAGTCCAGACGCGAAGATAGCTGATATAGCAGTTCTACCTGCCACACCAGCCATCCTCACCCTGCCTGCCTGCATGTTGCTTCTTCACGCCTCTTTTAAAGGATCCCAGGTTGTAAGAGGAAGGGAACACGTGAGCGGGCACAGCATTCCATTTACGGATAGTGCGACAAAGAACTGAGTCACCAAACATCTTTGTACTCGTTGGAATAGTGCCCATAGTTAGTCGATGGCAACGTAGGCCAGCGCGCGTGGTCCTCTGAAGGAAAGGGAATAGTGGAATAAGAGAGAATAACTTTTAGAACACTCGTGGTACAGACGATAGAAAGCGCTTAATGATGCCTGATGCCACGTCACGGCATGATTGAAGAGGCTCGAGGTGTTTAGTCACCTCCTCATCACCTATGATGCGGATCGCGCTCCGAGGAACCTATCCAAAGCATCGAGCAAGTACTCGGCGGAGCCATCCCAGAGGTGCGAGCAATATTCCACGCAAGACTGCATCTGCGTCTTATACAACAAGCACAGTTGCTCTGGCGTGAAAAATCGCCGCACGTTGTTCAGGACTCCGAGTTTGCGTGAGGCCGTTTTAACCACGTTTTCGATATTATTCTTTGGATTTAAGTCACAGCGAATTCCCATACCGAGCATGGTGATACTGCTTTCTAACTCCAGTGTTGAGCCCTGAAGAGAAGGACATGAAAGGAATGGCGCCGTTTTTGCCGTGAAAGCGCAGACCTGCATTTTCTGAGCATTGAACTCAACTGGAGTTGAAAATTACCGAAAGTTTCGGTAAGAAACAAAAGTTTCGAGGTAACTTACCGGTAAGTTTCGTGAAACTTACCAAAATTAGGTATTTATGTAACTTTCAAAAATGATGATTTTACTTACAAATGTGCAACAGCAGCTTATTTTAAACGCTTTTGTCTTCTTTATATTAAACTCCTAGCGAATTTTAGCGGCCATTCTCTGTCACACAAGTTAAAAAAACGGTGGTGAAACGAAGTGTGTGGAGCTGGGCTTTGTTTGTAATTGTAGAGTTGTGCAATTTGTATGCATTTGTTTTTATATGCAGTTTGCTTTTTTGTGTGCGGTCATAATAAGTATATATTAACGCGCGCGACGTTGCCAGCTTGCGTGACGGGTTACTCCGAGAGCGAATAGGGAGGGATGCAGCCGATGCAGGGATAAGGATGGAGAGATGACTAACGTTATGAAGGCAACGAACGTAATGCAATTTCGTTGAGATGCTTTTTAAAAAACATAGCTACGGGAGCTCGTAGGATGCGTTATAAGTTCGTGACCAACACGTGCAACGCGCTGGGCATCCGCTCTAATGTAAGCTTTCTTACAGACCTTGGAAGCAAAATTGTAGGCTGCTTTGAGTGAATCGACCTCCGGATTCTTAAGAGCGTGGCATCTGTTCCAAGCACGATATTCCGCTTGCTTACGCGAAACAGCTTCAGCACAGTCGCGATTAAACCAGAGGTTACGTGTGCCCTTACTGATGAGATTAGAATGAGGAATATAGTATTCCACTACAATCTCCTCAGTAATAGCAACGGCGCTGGCCGATAGGACCTTGTCACTGAAGCAGCGCTGCATCCAAGAGACGGACGCAAAGTAGTCACGCATACCGTGCCAATCTGCCTACACATAGTGGCATATCCGGTGTTTGACCACCGCTGGAAGTGAAAAAGAGCCGGAACTGGTTAGGAACGCTCGGGCCTCTGTACTGTGCCACGGCCGGCCAACGGGACAGCCGTTTCTACGGGTATCCCTGGCTGGCGGATCAAAGCAGTCCTCCCGGCATCGGTTCGACGAATGCCTCCCCAGGACCGAATCCGTCACGACAACCTCCACTGGAGCTCTGGTTGTACGCTGGCTGACCACGAAACGCGCGAGAAGCACTTCACGGGTTTGTCGCCATGCGCACGGTGTTACCACCAGAAGAGTGGATGGAAGCTCCGATATCCCTTAGTCGCTTCTTACGACACCCAACGGGAAGAGAAGGGGTGCCGAGTAGTATTCTTTCTCCGTCACCGCACGGATAATTATTTAACTGTTAGTAAAAAAAATATTGCATATTTTAAGACCCGTTGCACCGAATGCACCATTTTTTGGTTGAACGCGCAAATCTCATGAACCAATGGTCCAATTTGAAAATAACTTTTTGTGTTACATAGTGCATTTACTGAGGAAGGCTTAAGGCTATATAACATCACGTTGGGACCAGTAAGAGCCGATTATCGATGTAGAATGTTGCAAAAACGGGTAAAAATATTCTATTTGTGAGCTTCCGTTGCGTGCGCTGCGTAAATGATTAAAGTTATATAAAAATCATGTATGGCGGAATTGTTCCCCTTTGAAAGTTATGTAAAAAAGTCCGCGACAGCATATGCCCATCTTTCAAGTTAAGCTCACAACCTTTTTCCTCAAATGAACGCTTTAGTTGTGACATAACTGTAATAGCTCGACATATGATATCGCGGACTTTTTTGTAGATATTTATGTTCTCTATAAAACTTTAGGACATCGCTTTGCTCTATTGTCAATGACTTCTGCAGCTTAAGCGACAGTAGGTTATTTTTTTCTCACCCTGGGTTACACTAACGAATTTCACACGGAACCCTAATTTTTTGAAAATACTCTGTAGCCTGTGTTCATCGGGGATAATGTAAGATTCTAAATGTGTAAGAATTTATCAAATCGGTCCAATAGTTTCGGAGCCTATTCAATACAAACAAACAAACAAACAATCAAATCTTTCCTCTTTATAATATTAGTATAGATAAATAACATTTCTAGGTCCAAGACATCCGCACCTGTGCAAAATATTTGGCAGACTTCGATGGCAGCATCGAGTTAATAAAAAGCGCAGATCAATTGCTTCAAGAACTGACAGCTATGTACACACAGCTGCATGATGATTGGTCGCGCGAGTTACTTGTAAGTAAATATTACTTGTTAAATTGTGTTGAAAAGTTGAAAGTAATAAACGATATATTGTTATAAGCTAGAACATATTTTAGAACTTTTTGTGTATTTAATAATATCTATGATTATATTAACTCTCGTTTTGTGATCTGTCTAATTAGTGTAATATAAATAAAGACATGTTTCTATTTGTATTATTTCAATACGGAAGCTGTCAAAAAATGTAAAGAGACTATGATAAATTTAAGGTGCTCTCCCCCGCACAGCGTCTCATTATAGCACTGTCTAGACCATAGGGATAGAGAATTGAGCAACACACGCATGAAATTGACAACTCTCTAGAAGGAGTGAATGCTATGGCGCAACCAATGCCTATAGTCCGGAAGCACGGATACTTCGTCTCTCTCACTCTTTTCTGCCCAGATTTAGTTTACAGCTACACAGGAAACATTCAGTGCCTATGGTCTAGACGCAGTGGCAGATTTACCTGCAGGATCAGTAGGCTTGAGCCTAGGGCGGCAAATTTGCGGACCGTTTTTTTTTCCTACCTCATAGTAAACAAAAAGATTTTTGCATGACGGTTTTCCGATGTCTTACAGATAGAAGTCTTCAAAAAATTTGATGAACTTTTTCAATTTCGAAAAAGTCAAAAACATTCCAAAAGTAGCACTTCCATATTCTAGAGTTAAACAGCTAGTTCGCCGCCCTCCAACCAGTAATCGGCCCCTGCGCCCTCTGCCCACACGTTATACGAGTGAAAAGAGCGAAGTTATACAAAATGTATTTCCATCTTCCCACTATCAACCCATACATGAAAGTTCTACTACTGGTTGGAGGCTGCGAACTGGATGGTTTGTATATAATTAAGTGATTTTAATTTGAATATCTATACTTATAATAAATCTGTAGAGGGGTCAATTCTGTACATGAAATATATTTTCAAAATAACTATCAGGGGGTGATTAGTGATCAATACTGATGCCAAAAATGCAATCAGTAAAATTTTTGTCTGCCTGTCTGTCTGTCTGTCTGTGTGTATGTTCCTTATAGAAACAAAAACTACTCGACGGATTTTAACGAAACTTGGTACAATTATTTTTCATACTCCTGGGCAGGTTATAGTATACTTTTCATCACGCTACAATCAATAGGAGCAGAGTAATGAAGGGAAATGTTGGGAAAACGGGAGAAGTTACTCCATTTTTTAAGCTTCCGTCGCGTGCGCAGCCTTAATGGTTAAAGTTACATAGAAATTATGTATGACGAAAATATTCTACATAAAATTGTCTAAAAAATATCCCTGAACAGCATATGTCTATCTTTTATAGTTGACTTACAATAACACGTGTAACTCCTGATAGCTTAACAGTTCGGAGCATTCTGATTATATTTGTTTACTCTTACGTTTATAATACTCTCACTAATCCCTAATTTAAAACAGTTAACATTATTACCTATTCAATAAAAAAAGAATCATAGAAATCGGTATAGAAACACCAAACTTATACATGAAATAAGCCATCGCGCCTTCGCACGTGAATACTGAATCATGCTATAAGGATTTATTTTTGTGTAACGGATAAGACAAAATGATCGACCAATGGGCGGTATCACAGTTTTATTTTGTGGTGATTTCCGACAAACCTTACCGGTAATACCACGGGGAACCTGAGCTAATGAGGTTAGGGCTTGCCTGAAAAGCTCTTATTTGTGGCGTGATATACAATCGGTGCATTTGACTATAAACATGCGAGTGAGAACTGGAGATAACCCGGATGATCGTGAATTTTCTGATATATTATTAAGGATTGTTGAAGGTACCTATCCACTGCTACACCAAGGAAAACTTATTCGGACGCCTGAGTTATGTTGTATAGTGCAATCCCAACAACATCTCATATCGTCAGTTTACGGTGACGTAACAAATATCTATATATATAAAACTCAAAGGTGACTGCTGACATAGTGATCTATCAACGCACAGCCCAAACCACTGGACGGATCGGGCTGAAATTTGGCATGCAGGTAGATGTTATGCCGTAGGCATCCGCTAAGAAAGGATTTTGATCAATTCCACCCCCAAGAGGATAAAATAGGGAATGAAAGTTTGTATGAAACTTTGTCAATTTTAAACCGATCGGGCTGAGACTTTGCATGCAGGTATAAGAAGAATCATAGATGAATGTCATTGTGTATATTACAAGCCTGAGAACAAAAACTGTAGTCTACACTTCAGCTCTACACCGAAGCGAAGCGAGGGCGGGCCACTAGTAATAAATATTTTAGTGAATAATTTTACCGATTTCAATCTTTACGTGTTGAAAATTCACTAGCTTTAAAAAAATCAGTTGATTTGGAGATTGTAATTACAATGATACTTTTGTTTCGTTTTGGGTTCGCATTTACTGACTCCACACTACATAGAACAGAGAGCGTCTCGAATCACGAGCAGTGTTTTTTGCAAGTGTATAACTCGTGGCTTTGTAGTTTCGTGCCTTATTTTCTTTGGTTCCGATCTTCGATCGACAATACTATAGATAACGAATTGCATACAAAATCAAAGTTAAAAACTGTGCGATTGTGTATTTACTTATGCAGCTACATTCGATTCCTAATCAACAAATGCAAAACCTTTCAAAACAGTTTTATCACTAAGCCAACAAAAAGTCGTGCAAAAAGGTATTCCTTACTCGAACTTTTATTAGTTGACCGAGTTGATTATTTTTAATTGTTTGTAAGCGCAATAAAGATTTATTTATTCACGTATACCAAATGTTCATTATTGTGTAAGTAGCATATATTACCCCGTACATGATCTTTGATTAGCTCAAAAATGTACCCAAAAATTATTTTACGTGCACGGAAGGAATATACACAGTCAGGTCATAAGTATTGTCACACACAGTAAAAACTTTTCATTTAGAATGCTGGCCACAAAAAAGTTTATTGAACTCGAATTTCGAATTGTTGATGAAAATAAAAATGTATACTTTTTAGAATTTTACTCATTTTTAAATATGGAGTGGACGCTTAAAGAAAACCGTGTTGCAGTTATTGCGTTGCATCGTTGCGGTTACGCGCCAATTCAAATTTTTGACATACTGAAAATTTTGAATATAACCAAAAGATTCGTTTATCGTACCATCAAACGATACAATGAAGACTCTAGTGTAGATGACAGGTCAAGAAGTGGTCGCCCTCGGTCTGTTAGGACTCCAGCAGTGATAAAAGCTGTGAAGGCGTGAATTGAAAGAAATCCCAAACGTAAGCAGAAACTGTTGGCCCTTCAGATGGGGTTAATAAGCAGAACCACGGTGAAAAGGGTGTTAAATGAAGACTTACCACGGTGAAAAGGGTGTTAAATGAAGACTTCGGGCATATCGAAGAAAAACAGGACATTGTTTGAATGCTCGTCTAATGGACCTGAGACTGAAGAGATGCCGCGCTTTGTTGAAGCGGTACGCGGGAAAAAAATATCGGTAAATTTTTTTTTCGGATGAAAAAAATTTTACCGTAGAAGAGGGCTACAACAAACAAAATTATAAGGTGTACGCACACAGTAGTGAAGAAGCGAGCAACCGTATTCCGCGTGTCCAACGAGGTCATTTTCCATCCTCGCTCATGGTATGGTTGGGAGTTTCTTATTGGGGCTTAACAGAGGTACATTTTTGTGAGAAAGGTGTAAAAACGAATGCAGTTGTGTATCAAAATACAGTCCTGACGAACCTTGTGGAACCTGTTTCTCATCTCATGTTTAATAACAGGCACTGGGTATTCAAACAAGATTCGGCGCCAGCTCATAGAGCGAAGAGCACACAAGACTGGCTGGCGGCGCGTGAAAGCGACTTCATCCGGGACGAAGACTGGCCCTCCTCCAGTCCAGATTTGAGTCCGTTAGATTACAAGATATGGCAACACTTGGAGGAAAAGGCGTGCAAAGCCTCATCCCAATTTGGAGCCACTCAAGACATCCTTGGTTAAGGCATCCGCCGATATTGACATGGATCTCGTTCGTGCTGCGATAGACGACTGACCGCGCAGATTGAAGGCCTGTATTCAAAATCACGGAGGTCATTTTGAATAAACTTTATTGTCTTGAGAATCTATGTTTTATTAAGTTCATTTTGGTATATAAATGGTTACATAATGAATAAACTTGTTTCAATTATTTTATATTAAACGTGACAGAATTTATGACCTGACTAGGTATAGATAGGAAGTACGATGGGGCAATTTTCTTGAGCAAACTCACAGAAAAATAAACTTGCACAGTAGGCGTTTTTGTATCTAGAATTGCTACTGCGCAAGCTTCTCTGTCTATATATACTAATACCTCAATTACAAATGAAATATTCCCATTGTCAAGGCGCTAGTGAACAGTGGTTCACTACAACTCCGTCTAGAAAGGCCTGTGGTGGAATTCAGCGGTACCAGCAAGATGCTTGAGGTTCAATATGAAGCGCGCGCGGTGCGCTGCGAGCGGGAGGCGCGGGCGCTTAAAGCGCTAGGCCTTCCGCCTCCACCAGCTGTCGCCGCAGCGCTGCAAGCGCTTACAGATGCACTGGCACACGCGCAACGTCTGCAGCAGGTAACGGCTGGGAGAATACATTTTTGTTCCCAAGGCGCACGTGAACAGTGCATCGCTACAACTCTGCCTAGAGAGGCCTGTGGTGGAGTTCAGTGGTGTCAGCAAAATGCTTGAGGTTCCATATGAAGAGCGCGCAGTACGCTGCGAGCGGGAGGCGAGGGCGCTTAAAGCGCTATGACTGCCGCCCCCGCCAGCTATCGCCGCAGCGCTGCAAGCCCTTACCAATGCACTGGTACATGTGCAGCAGGTAAAATCTATATCTAATACATTTGTTTCCCAAGGCATAATTGATGTCGAATGCTCTAGGAACAGTATCAGACGCGTGATGCGCTCTGATCAGAAGGTGGGACTGCTTTAAATGTGTAATGTAAATATCTTATTCTTATTTTCATCATCTGATGATGATGCCTAATGCCTATTAATATCCTCACTGCTTGGGCACAGGTATTCTGATCTGATATGGCTGGAATAGGGAGAACAGGCTTTGACCCACCATGCGGTGTGTTATCGACTGCAACTGCAGCATAATTTCAAGCAGTAGCAGTGTTTCTCTTCATTTTGCGGAAGTTTCTTGCTTACTGTAATGATCGTGAACCGAATGTCCTGGCTATTGCGCCACCGAACTCCTCGCTCCTTTTACAATTTTATTTTCATGACGCTTCATGAGATACAGTTTGCTGATATATATACAGACTGTAGCGTCAGTGTGTACAGAAGTACACAGAACACAGAAAGAGGTTAGAAGGGCCTTGTGGGCGGGGCAGGCGCGCCACAGTTATGTGTGAGCAAATGCTCATTACTTGGCCAAAATTTGGGTTTGATTGTGTCGTTACTCACGGCTGTGAGAGCTGATTGGTTCGATTATTTGATGTCGCGTTGTTTTATTGGTTATTATCTATAAGATGGAAGTGTAGTGGGGGCGAGCCGGCGACATCGGTTCTCGTACAAACGGTCTATGATCATCCTTCTAACCTCTTTTTCGGCTCTGTTGGTTGTACTGTGTAACTAGAAATTACAGCTGATGCACCTCAATGTTAGTTAAATAAGAAAAATAGTATATAAGATGAAACACAAAATAATTAAATACGCTCTTAGTTGTCAAGCGACATACTGGCTGTTTGATTCCTTATCTCCCGTCACTAGGAGCCAAAGGACGAACGGTTCGCTTAGTCACGCTTTAAGTACGGAAGTTAAACTTGGATATCCGGATTTACGGTGCTTTTACAGTTTAGTGATGTTTATTATTAAAATTTAAGTAACCGTTCGTTAGGTGGCGTCTTTCCACAACACTTTGAGCGAGCGCATGGTCCCATCCGCGCGGCCGATGATGCTGCAGGGGGCGCTGCAGCTGTCCGCGCTGGTGCAGAACCACCAGCCGGTGTACTGGCACGACGCCGCACAACTGGCCGCCTACGTCGACCGCCTCGTGGGGGCCGTCGGGCATCTAGACGCGCAGGTTCAGCCTCACATGGAGTTCTGCCCTCATCTTTGGGCGAGGGCACCCCAGTATAAGTAGCGGCAAAGTTCTTGAGCTAAACTATAGACGAATAAACCTACGCCGTAGACATTTTGTTAAGTAAAATTCAGGCTTCCTTGTCTATGGTCGTTGCTGAAGACGTTTACCGGGGTATTAACCAGCTTCTCCCCCTGGATCGCATCCAATGCCGAAAGGCTTGAATTTCGACGAATGCGTTCCATTTTTCTCGATTAAGTTAACATCATAGTCGAATCAAACTTTAAATTAATTAAAATAGTATTTAAAAGAAAGAAAATGCTGGTTTATATTAGATCCTTACTTACCTTAGCGTTTTGTACGGGAGAAATATAAAGTCAATTTTATTACATGCATAAAAAACAAAACTGTAATACCCACGTGTATCATTGGTATGCCCAATTCGACAAAGGGAAAAGCTGTGTATGCCTGCTCCCCTCCTGGCCGCGTCGGCCGTGTTGCTCTATGCGTGGACTGCACCGACATAAAAAGTGACGGCCCGCGACTTCTTCTGCGTGGAAAAATTGGTTTCCCATAAAAACTTCCGTTTCTAAGTCCTTTCTCGGGACCTTTTTATAAAAAGATTTTTAAAGGAAGTTGCGCAAAAATTTATTAAGTTTAAGAAAACTTAATTCACAGCGCTACCCGAAAGTTGTCGCTGCAAACGGGTTTTAGTATTTTTTATATTTATATCGACGAGAACAACGTCTGTCGGATCCGCTTGCTTTAGCACAACCCTTCATGCGACTAACAGTAAAACATCGATATATACAAACAAACGGCGAGCAATAACTTTAGATTTTGTCCTATAGTGGATTCGTGGCTGCTACAAACGAAAATGCAACAGAAATCTTAACAAGCTTATTATTAAATATTTCTAACACACCTAGTACTCTAGACCCAAAGTAAGCACTATAAGGCTTAGGTTATGGGATACTAGGATAACGGATAGAATACACAATACTGATTCATATATAAGTATATTTATATAGAAATACATATATACACTCCCGGACTCTTGAATCTGGCTGGATTCAAGAGTCCTTATATTCCCGGGCCTAAAAGCCCAATACACAAAAAATATACAATATAACAAAAAAGTATTTATGCATTTTTAATGCTGGCATATTTCATCGTCTATTCCAAATATTTTTGAATTTAAAATAAAGAACAAAAGCCGGGCTTGGTCACTGATTTGAAAAAAATAGTAACTGTTGAAAGTTGCTTTTGAAGCAATTTAATGTCGATTTGGTTTGAATTTTCGCAATTGTTGTAAAACAAAGTTTAGTTTAGTTATTTTTCTATAATTTGAACCGTTATAAAATTATGGATACTTCACCTGAAGTAGCCGCGCAAGCTGTAGCACTTCTTCAATCTGGGCTAAGTCAGCGAGATGTGAGTTCACAACTTCACATAAGTCGTTCCGCTGTTCAAAGAGTGTACCACCGATACCTGGAAACTGGCGGCTTCGTTCGGCGAACAGGAGGACCTCGTTACCGAGTGACAACGGCGAGACAATATCAATACATTGTCACTACTAGCTTACAAAATCGACGCCTTATCTCTGTTCAGATACAAGAACAGCTCAGGGACTTTCACGGAGTGGCTGTAAGTGCTCGGACCGTTAGAAGGCGACCACGGAGTACCCCGAGTCCGCATCACGCAAATTTTGTTTGGAATCAAAATCGCCAGAGTCGGCGGCGTGCAGGGAGATCAGCCGCGTTGTGATTGGACACGTCAAGGTCAGATGATATACTCAGTGCAGCGAAGTGATGAGGGTAAGATCGATTTTAGAAAATATCGATATTTTCTATCGATAAATAAAGGACACCCGGCATTATGTGCCAAAGTTGTATACTTTTTTAATGTTTTTATCTGTGTTTCATAATTGGGTAACGTAGTCTGGCAATATTTGTCATCAGCAGCTAGCTGTCAATGTCAAATACGTAGGTTTGTCAATATAACCTCTATATGTAGCCGGGTCGTCAAGAGAAATAACGGATAAAAAGGCAATCACAGCAGAGAACATTCACAATCACAGTACGCGGGAGCGAATGATTTTTTTGTTTGTATTGAGTAATATTTTCAAGTAAAATTCTGTCCCTTTAAGATTTAGGGTTTCCATATCAAAGCGTTCAAAATTTGACGTTTGTAAAGCTCCTGGGCCTTAATATCAATGCAACTTAAAGATGGTATGTGTTCTTCAGAAATTAAATCCTTTTGCTCAAGTTCTTCAAGCAATAATTTCATCGAGGCTGCTTTTCTTTTAAGTGCACGATTAGAGTCTCGTAGGCGTTTTATCAACAAGTTTTTCTTTTTAAGTTTTAGTGATACATCAGATAAAGCCCTACAAAGCCGCATTTTACGTGGAGTATTCCATGAGGGTGGTATATTTAATAAATCAAAACTGGTATCCGGGTTGAGTTCACCTGTTTTGTTATCATAGACTGTGGTAGTATCTTGCACTAAACCCTGAAAAAGCAAAAAATGCTTAAATTTTTCATTTAAATTGCAAACTAATATTTACCATAATATATCTAATCTAGTACCATAATATACGTACCGTACATTTTGAGTCTAATTTTGAATGTGAAATTAACGATAACTCCGAAGAAACCGGAACTACGATACCACTGATACTGGGTTCAGCCTATAAAGGACATATTATGTATTAAAATTACAAGTCAACTTTAATTATTTAGGAACAAGTCTACCAAATTTATATTGCATTGAAAAAAGTTTTAAAGTAGAGACTGTTTTTAAGAGTAAAAAAAATCTGGCGCTCGTACCACTTCTAATATCTTTCTGGGCATTGAAGTAGACGGATCAGCAAAATCACTACGTTCATCCTGCAAATGACACTGTAATGTTTGTATTAGATATTGTAATTTAAACATTTTTGAGATTACTTAAAGTTGAAATAAATTATATGTTATATCAAAACAGAAGATTTGCTATTCATTAAGGAAAGCACTGAGATGAAAAGCCAGACAATCATACCAGAACTGGTAATGGAAGCGTTGGCACAGCATCCTGAAGCAAAAGGCGTCGTTTTTTAGTAAGCTGGAAGCTGTCAGTGGTATAGTGACGAGAACATATGTAACTGTTTACAGTTGGAGTCCAATCTTTACGTTTAGTTGCACTTATCCAAAGTTCCTTCATCTTGGCACATTTTGGAAACCTATGAAATAAATAAAACACGTAATGTTACTGTATTTTGATTCTCGCATCAGTCGGTAAGATATCACCTTAAATATCTCTTTAAAGATTTTGCTCGTTGCTGTTCTCGTGAAAGGCACATGCGATATACAGACTTAATGAATTTAATATTAATACGGTGACGTCCGTGGCTCTTGACTTAGCACACGCAAAATAACCTAAGTATAACCAAATTATTGATTTTGAAGGAACTTGGTAAATACTTATCAAATTTTATGCTAGCTACCACCCGCGACTTCATCCACGTTGAATTTAGTTTTTTGAAAATCCTAAAGAAACCTGACATTTTTCCGTTACAAAAAGTATTCTATACAACGATATTTTATACCCTAGATACGACAACATGTACAAAATCGTGGCCGAAACGTGACCAAAAGGTACATTTGACGATTCACAGAGGTCCGTAAGATGATCGCGTGGTCAAAAACAATGTAATGCATTATTTAACAAAAAGTCACCTTTAATGCATACGGCATAAGCTCTTAATTAAAACGCATGCATCAAAGATTTATGGCAGTTCAAAATGCAAGTTCCTAAAATTTTACGACTTATTGTTATATGCGAAAGAAAATAGACCTTATTTTTTTTAACTTTTCGCGCTCAATTCTGAATATGCTGTTAGCTATTATAGCAGGTCCAGACCGCGAAGAAAAAAGACGGCTATAGGGCGACGTATAACCGACCATGCTTTTGAGTATCACAAATATGTTATATTAAATCAGTTTATAGTAAGTATTACAATAAAATTTGCTTCAAATGCGTTAAATTTATAATAATAATAAAAACGTTTATTTGGTCAAATTATATAAATAACTTATTGTATTACATAAAGATGACTATGTACCAAATTATAAAAACATTAATTAGATACCTGTCGAAAAAACAACACTTTACGAACTATTAGTATTTTTTTCGCATTTTTACGGAGCTCTGCGGCATTATGACTTTTCATCGGTCCGCGCGTGACTGTAAACCAAGAAGTGCTTGAATAAAGTTTAAGCACTTCTTGATTGGGACACATTTTGAGCGCTCGTGGTCTATCTAGGGTATTTAATATCGTTAATTCCATGTCTTTATCTAGGTCATAAAGTATGCGCACTTAATTTCATACAAATCGGTTTAATCGTGTAATAGTAACAAACATCCATACAAATTTTCGGGTTTAAAATTTTAGTACGATATGATTAAAAACTGTTGGTTGTATACGATGAAATAAATAGTTTTTATTTATTTTTTCTATTTCCGTAGCTGACAAACTTATCGATAAACTTACGGGTACAGACATGAGCTGCGTCAAGTCACTAGCAATACACGTGCCGGTGTGAGAGCGGAATAGCATATATGATGTAGCGCATGCGAGAAAGGGATAGTGTTAAAAGACATCAACGCATTCACCAAAAAATAAATACAATTAAAAGCAATTTCATATAAGAGTATTTTTGTCTTTTTGTAATGCATTTAAACTTACCGGTAAAAAGTAATACCATCTTTTTGAAGACTGGAAGTTTTACTCCACTTTCCACATAATTGCACAGTACGGCATTTTTTCTAGTTTTTTAACGCAAAAACGAGAGAAGCACTTCTGCTAACGCTCGGCTTCGGAATGAAACGATGTATAGCGACGTCTGTGGGCGTGTCTCACGCATACGTAATATACTACTTATGCTTGGCGTAAGCGCTTGCCCTTGTGTGCGGACTCTAGTGGGGGTGCTCCATGAAGGCGACCCAATGAACGTGGTTTAAAGCCCCATAAGCCAGCCAATGGACCCAAATTGACACGAGCACACCGAATAGCCCGTTTAGAGTTTGCGCGCGAACATCTAAATTGGACTCGACATCAATGGAGCCAGGTTCTCTTCACAGATGAGTCCAAGATAATGCTATACAGTAATGACGGAAGGAGTAAGGTGTACCGAAGACAGAACGAGCGCTTTGCGCAATGCTATATTGACGAGAAAGAGAGTTATGGTGGAGGATCATGGACAGTCTGGGGAGGAATCTCTATGGAAGGCAAAACTGAGCTAGAGGTAGTGACGGGACCATGACTGCCGCCCCTAGATGGCATTAGATACATTCGCCATTGTTTAGAGAACCACGTGATGCCATATGCTGGATTTATTGGCCAAGATTTCGTTTTAATGCATGATAATGCAAAGGCCCATACTGCGGGAATCGTCAGGGAGTACTTAAATGACATTGGTATCACTGTTATGAGATGGCCAGTGCGAAGTCCTGATATGAATCCTATAGAGCATCTATGGGGATGAGCTGAAGAGGCGTGTTCGAGCTCATCATCCTGCCCCGCAAACCATGCAGGAGCTCAAAAATGTAATTTTGGAAGAATGGGAGGACATTCCTCAACATGTCATAACAACATTGATTAATTCTATGCCAAACTGTATGAGAGCTGTCATAAATGCACTGGGAGGCAATACAAGTTACTAAATAAACATTTCTTTTCATGTAAAACATGTCTTTATTTAAAAATCGATTAGATTTTTTTCCTTGAAAAAAGCAAATATGGAAAGCAAATTGTTTCAACATAACTCGACTTTTTTAATAAACTGTAGTTCAAAATTAGAACAGTGGCACTCTAAATGAATGATGAGTATACCAGCTCCAAAACTGCATCAAAACATTTTCCTTCTACATACATATTTTATAAGTTACAGTACTCCAAACCAAAAAAATCAAGGTGGCTCGATTTAGGTGTCCGGGAGTGTATAAACATCTATGGATTAGGTGCAAATGCTCGTATTCATTCTCTGAGTGGGCGATACCTTGAAACCCGGCATACATATCACTCGCGCGCCTCGGAGTTCGCCAAAGGAAAGGACGTTAATGAAGAGAAACAATACAATGATTTTTTTATGTTAAAAGGATGGCAATTGGCAAACAAGCTTATGGCCCGCTTGATGGTAAACGGCTACCATAGCTTATAGGTGATTTCGATTCAAATTACACGTTGCCATTGCCTACCCCATTAATGATTAGGTAGATAGTGCTAAGCGTTTCTTATTTGGCTACGGGTGAAGTTGTTGCGGTCCTGACAGAGTTTGTCCTACCCAAAACCTACCTACCCTACCCCGTGGACAGGGGCGGTTTATGCACTAGGCCCGCTAGGCCCGAGCCTAGGGCGCCGTGGCAGAAGGGGGCGCCACGGGCCGATAAATTTGAAAGATTAGAAGCGAGAAAGCGAACGTTTTAATCGGGTCCACTCAAACGTCAATATCGCCAATATAAAATATATATGTGCTCCATTCCTACCCACAAACCTACATAATATATGTATGATTGAAATTCTGTTTCCGTTAAATTATTTTTGAAATACACTCCCGCTCAAAAGTATGGGTTCACTTCTCGAAATTTTCAGCTTCGGTATAAGTTCCATATCTTGGTGGAAAAAGGTCGTAAGAGAATTTAATGAGCACCGTTTTGAAGGGGACAGTTTTAGCTTCACTTTGCCATTTTTTATAATTTTTTACAATTTTTTTTATAGTCCCCACGCGCTTTTGAACATGGCAGTTTTTCGATGTTTTTTTGCCCTCTGGAAACGGGCTGTCTGGCTGTTAAAAAATTTTCCTTACAATTTCATTCATCGCAGTTTCAAAGAGGATATTAAACACTGCATTTTTGTTTTTGAAAAAGTATCGTGCGATTTTTTTTACCAAAAATATTCTAATTTTCGACAAAAATTGATAATTTTATTCAATTCGGCGAATCTTGAAAACGGCGGGTGATCGAAGAAAATAGCAAGGGGGTGTAAAGTTGCAATAGATCATGATGGACATGGTAGATTTATTTCAGATTTTTTTTCCGACATTTGAATGAATGAATGAATGAATGAATATATTCTTTATTGCACTATTACACACAATACAGAGAACATAAAACACAGTAACAAAAACACAAAAGGCGGCCTTATTGCTAAGGTAGCAATCTCTACCAGGCAACCTTTTTAAACATTTGTTTTTTCATACTCTTGCAGTCGAAATGATTTAAATTTTCTCATGATTTTTTCTTTTTTTTAGACGGCGCAGGCATTTCTTTTATTGGTTTTATAACCATCTTGACGTAATTTTTACTAAAAATCAAATTTCGCACAATTTTTTGTACGTTTTTTTCATTTAAAAAATTAATTTTTAGTTCAAATTACGTCAAGATGAAGATGAAACCAATAAAAGCAATGCCTTAGCCGTTTAGAAAAAAGAAAGAATCATGGGAAAATTAAAATCATTTCGACTCCACGAGTATGGAAAAACAAATGTCGGAAAAAAATTATGAAATTAATCTACCATGTCCATCATGATCTTTTGCAACTTTTCACCCTCTTGCTATTTTCTTCGATCACCCGCCGTTTTCAAGATACGCCGAATTGAATAAAATTATCAATTTTTGTCAAAAATTAGAATATTTTTGGTAAAAAAATCGCACGATACTTTTTCAAAAACGAAAATGCAGTGTTTAATATCCTCTTTCAAACTGCGATGGATAAAATTGCAAGGAAAATTTTTTAACAGCCAGACAGCCCGTTCCCAGAGGACAAAAAAACATCGAAAAACTGCCATGTTCAAAAGCGCGTGGGGACTATAAAAAAAATTGTAAAAAATTATAAAAAAGGCAAAGTGAAGCTAAAACTGTCCCCTTCAAAACGGTGCTCATTAAATTCTCTTACGACCTTTTTCCACCAAGATATGGAACTTATACCGAAGCTGAAAATTTCGAGACGTGAACCCATACTTTTGAGCGGGAGTGTATAAAAATCATTTATTCTAGCCTGTGCTTTTTCAACTATTTTATGGAGAGGGGAGAGGGGGCGCTAATTTCGTCAGGCCTAGGGCGCCCGTTTTCGTAAACCGCCCCTGCCCGTGGATCCCCGTGTTTACCTATCAGCTAACTTTTGCAAAACTACTCTTAGTAGCACTGCGATATCCATTCGTTACGCAATGCTCTAATGTTTTACCGTTATTGTACTTATTTCCACCTAATTCATATTTTCCAGAATACATACCTTACAAAACAACATATTGCTATAAGAGTTATTGTAGAAAAGCTACTGGATACGGAATTATTGACACAGCAAGCTGAGTGGAAGAAGCATGTGAAGGATATAAGGGATATTATAGAAATGGTAAGCTATGTTTATAACGTGTTTGGGTCATCTATTTATAGCACTTGAGTTGTGATCCAATTTAAATAAAAATCATTAATCTCAACTCTACAACCGGCAATGACTTGACTCGGGTTTTGATGCATTAGTATTGGGTTCACTATCTTATTATACAATCATATTTAATTTTGTATTTCAGGTGGAAGCAAACGGTTACAAAAATACTGATTCTTGGCGCTTACACTGGGATTATCAATTGTATAAAGTTCTCGAATGTCAATATATAAAGTCACTTCTCTCATTGCACAAGCATTTTCCGCACGTCAAAGTGGATTTAGTGTTTAGGTAATCTAAAATTTATAGTGAATATTTTTTTTATTAGTTCTTTACTTAAATCTTAACTACCTTATCTCAAACCGCGGACTAAAGTTAGTCATGGTTTAAACCTAACGCTGTCTCCGTCTTTTTTGAGCAAAAAATGCTGATGCTGTCATTTGCATCAGTTTTAAACCAGGTTTAACTTTAGTCAACGTTTTGTAATAAGGCGGTGTTAGTTGAATTTAAACTCATTCTTTACTTTAGTTATGCGAGGAGCTCGATGGCGCAAGTGGTTAACGCGTTCGGCTGCAATCGTTGAATTTAAGCAACTTTCGCAGTGGTCATCGGATGGGTGATCAAAAATTTACTATCTCGAGCTCCTCCGTGCCTCGGGAGGCACGTTAAGCCGTCGGTCCCGCCTGCATCTGCAGTCCGTTAGCCCCCACCAATTCGCACTGAGCCCGCGGGGGGGTCTAGACCCAAACTCCTTATTCCATTCATAGGGAAGGCCTGTGACCCAGCAGGGGGGACATTAATAGGCCGATGATGCTTCGGTTCTTGTTGGGAGGGTGAAATATAAACGGGATATTAAAAATAGTGTTGATGTATGTCGTGTGCGTGTCAGGGGTTTGCGTGTAAGCGTATCGCCGGCGCTGGAGCAGGTGCGCGCGCAGCAGTACGCGCAGCTGCGGCGGCTGCTGGCGCTACCCGCGCACGCGCCCACGCTGCACGCACGCGACCACGACCGCGCCCTCTACCTCAGCATCGTGCACGAGTGAGTGCTGCACTGTAAGGTATCGCAGCAGTACGCGCAGCTGCGGCAGCTGCTGGCGCTGCCCGCGCACGCGCCCACGCTGCACGCGCGCGACCACGACCGCGCCCTCTACCTCAGCATTGTGCACGAGTGAGTGCTGCACTGTAAGGTATCGCAGCAGTACGCGCAGCTGCGGCGGCTGCTGGCGCTGCCCGCGCACGCGCCCACGCTGCACGCACGCGACCACGACCGCGCCCTCTACCTCAGCATCGTGCACGAGTGAGTGCTGCACTGCATAGTGGACTTCAGTATTCTACGTACATATACAGTGGTGGTCACATAATTAGACACCCCCTAATTTACCACAAAAAACTTACTTATGGTACTAACATTAGCTAAAATTGTTATTTAATCCAGTTTAATTGTTATTAAACCATACACGACGTTGTTTTCTTACAATGTGGGACATAAAATAGTTGTTGTGTAGTAGACACTGCTCACTATGGGAATGTAACACATTTTTTTTTTAACGTATTTATAGCTGGCTAGCTAATTAAAGACACTCGATTTGCTTAGAAGAAATAGAAAAAAAATATATAAATAATTACACAATATTCCTAACACATTTATAAAACTTTCCGGTACATATCAATATTTGGTCGCATGTCCTTTGGCAAAAATGACAGCACGACATCTCTTGGGCATGGAAGCAATCAGTGTTTTACAAGCTTCCACCGGAATTTGCTTCCAAGCTTCTCTAAAAGCTGTGTAAAGTTGATCGATGTTTGATGTCCGTTTTGTCGCCACTGTCCACCTGGTACCATAAGATTAAAAACAGGACTGTACGGGGTCAATCCAAAACTGTCACAAACTGGTTCACATAAAAAGTCTTTTATTACTTTTGCAGTGTGTTTCGGATCATTATCCTGTAAGAAAGTCCAAATGACCGGTAATTTTTACTCGGCATAGGGCACACGCTGCCCTTTTTCTAAAATATTCTTGTACTGAAATTTATCCATGTTGCCTTCTATTTTCCTGACAGATTCAACACCGAGTCCTGAGAAACAGTCCCTAACTTTGATATTTCCGCCCCCATGTTTAACTACTTTCTTGGTATACTTTGGATCCATTTCTTTGTTCGGGGGGCGTCTAACATATTGTTTTCCGACAGAATTAATCATATTAATTTTTGTTTCATCAGAGAAAAGCACATGTTTCCATTCTCATTCAGTCCAGTGTACATATTTTTTAACAAATGCTAATCTTGCCTTAACATTTTGCTTTTTCAAAAGTGGCACCTTCCGAGATACTCTTCCGTACAAGTTTGCCTCACATAGTCACCTCTGTCACTTGTAGTTAGCCCCCCACTTTTTGAATTTTATTATTATCTAGGTTGTTCTGGGTTGTTCTATGTTTGTTTTACATTGTTCCAAAGTATTATTTGAAAAAACTAAAATTTGAAGCTGCCAGACAAGAAAAACCGTTTTTCTATGGTAGCCCCCCATGTTTGGAAATTCAATATTTTTTTAGTTGTTCCAAGTTGTTCTAGTTGTTCCGAACATTGTCCCAACGTATTATTTGAAAAAACTCAAATTTGAAGCTGCCAGACAAAAAAATCTTTTTTATGGTAGCCCCCCATGTTGGGAAATTCAATATTTTTTTAGTTGTTCCAAGTTGTTCTAGTTGTTCCTAACATCGTTCCAAAGTATTATTTGAAAAAACTCAAATTTGAAGCTGTCAGGCAAAAAAATCGTTTTTGAGATAGCCCCCCATGTTTGGAAATTCATTATTTTTTAGTTGTTCCAAGTTGTTCTAGTTGTTCCTAACATTGTTCCAAAGTATCATTTGCAAAAACTCAAATTTGAAGCTGTCAGGCCAAAAAAACCGTTTTTGAGATAGCCCCCCATGTTTGGAAATTCATTATTTTTTTAGTTGTTCCTCACATTGTTCTAAAGTATTATTTGAAAAAACTCAAATTTGAAGCTGTCAGACAAAAAAAACCGTTTTTCAGATAGCCCCCCAAGTTTGGAAATTCGTTATTTTTAAAGTTGTTCCAAGTTGTTCTAGTTGTTCCTAACATTGTTCCAAAGTATTATTTGAAAAAACTCAAATTTGAAGCTGTCAGACAAAAAAAAAACCGTTTTTCAGATAGCCCGCTAAATCAAATCGTACTAGAGACAATAATAATTTTAAACAATGACGATTGTATCAGTACAACCGTGGGCTATATCGTTCCAATTTCATTTAATCATTTTTAATAAAATTAATAGTTATAAGACAAGAAAACATTACACTATAGGGTAAACTCCCTAATTATTGGCACTTTAAGAGTAGGTTCCATGTCAGTCAGACATTAAATTACCGTAAAATCACATCTAAATGAGTTAGTACACAACACATGTAACAGTATCAAGGAAATATAGTTCAATCTTTGTTTTCATAATAGTACAGTCAATGTAGGCTATATACCTACGTAATCAATCGATATTAATTTTTCATTTTACCAATTATTTCTCTATGACAAAATATATTATTTAAGTATTCGGTATTCGGCCGAATATAATAAAAGCAGCCGAATAGGCCGAATACCGAATAGTAACCGAATTTTCGTTGCGTCTAGTAATAATATACTTTTCTTTAAACTCATAGTTTTTGAGATATTTATAAAAAACCGCTTAAAACATAAATTTTTTGACGCAAAATCACAATCTTTGATCATTATTAACTCAGAAAGTATTGATTTATTTCGAAAACTTAATATAACAAATTTTACTTAGAATTGGTCTTTTTATCGATTCCTGGAGTTATTTTTATTAAAATTATTTTTACCCCCAATAAGGGGTGGTATCTACCCCTAGGACAAAAGCGCAAGTTGGCACTAAGTCACTTTTGTTTCATATGGTATCCCCCACCTCATCACCATTTTTCATGAAAATCGATGAAATCGGAGGTTATAGCTGATTTTTGCCTTCATTGACTGTACCATTATGAAAACAAAGATTAAACTACTTTCTTTGATACTGTTACATGTGTAACATATGTTGTGTACTAACTCATTTAGATATGATTTTATGGTAATTTAATGTCTTACTCTTAAAGTGCCAACAATTCGGGAGTTTACCCTATATTCTAATGTTTTCTTTTCTATTAATTTAATTCAAAATGATTAAATGAAATTGGAACGATATAGCCCACGGTTGTACTGTTGTTGTACAATCGTCATTGTTTAAATTGATTTTTGATATATTTATTGTCTCTGGTAGGTACGATTGATTTTTTTTTATAAATAAAAGTTTGTTTTTGTCTTACAGCTTCAAATTTGAGTTTTTTCAAATAATACTTTGGAACAATGTTAGGAACAACTAGAACAACTTGGAACAACTAAAAACGTATTGAATTTCAAAACATGGGGGCTACCATAAAAAAAGGTTTTTTTTTTATTGTCTGGCAGCTTCAAATTTGAATATTTTCAAATAATGCTTTGGAACAATGTTAGGAACAACTAGAACAACTTGGAACAACTAAAAAAATATTGAATTTCAAAACATGGGGGGCTACCATAAAAAAGTTTTTTTTGTCCGGTAGCTTCAAATTTGAATTTTTTCAAATAATGCTTTGGAACAATGTTAGGAACAACTAGAACAACTTGGAACAACTAAAAAAATATTGAATTTCAAAACATGGGGGGCTACCATAGAAAAACGGTTTTTCTTGTCTGGCAGCTTCAAATTTTAGTTTTTTCAAATAATACTTTGGAACAATGTAGAACAAACATAGAACAACCCAGAACAACCTAGATAATAATAAAATTCAAAAAGTGGGGGGCTAACTTCACAGAGGTCACATAGTCTCCGTCTAATTGTTCTTGCAGACACACCATTCGACCCTCCTGCACCAAACAAATCCGAACGTATCATTCTGATCCCTTGAACGAATCTTTTTTTGCCAACAACACCATCTTAGAGTGTCCCGCAGAGTAGTTTTTCTTGGTCTTGGTTTTCTTGGTACGTATTCGGCCGTGTTGAACTTTTTGATATGTTTTATAGCATTCATAACCATGTCCTAAGAACAGTTCAAGTGGTTTGCTATTTTTCTGTATGACCAATCTCTATTATGAAAGTTGAAAATAATCTTCCTAGTAGACGAATCGCAACTCTTGATTTTTCCCATATTGCTGGAATCAAAATGTATTAATTTTAATTAAAAAAAACGCGGCAAAACAAAGAAAACAGAATCCATTTTTTCTTTATTTTTTTTTAATTCAGAACACAGCTTTTACGGTTTTTAATTAGCTGGCCAGCAAATAAGTACGTTAAAAAAGTTTGTGTTTTGTTCCCATAGTGAGCAGTGTCTAAACTACTAACGGACACAAGTATTTTTGGTCCCACATTGTAAGAATACAACGTCGTGTATAGTTTAATAACAATTACACTAGATAAAATTACCAATTTTAGCTAATTTTAGTACCATAAGTAAGTTTTTTGTGGTCAATTAGGGAGTGTCTTTAATTATGTGACCACCACTGTATATGTAAATGGACCGCTCGAGCAACTTTCAATGGCAGCTTCAAGCAGTTCAAGCTCTTGACTCTGTCTGCTCCAGCAGGCCGTGTATTAGGGCTTCATATACATAGTGTAACCCTAGAGAACTATTACAAATTTTGCTGTCAGTCCATCCGTATGGCAGCACTCAGCAGGCTATATCTTATAAATCGTAATAGGTAGGCCATTAAAATTTTAATAGATTGCGCTCGTATAAAAACAAATGATAGATTTAAATTAATTTTAAAAAATCGTCCCTCTACAAAACCGATTTTAGTAATAGCTGTATCTTTTTATATTCGGTTAAAAATGTTATGCCGCAATTACATTTGGTCGTTAGCCCGTATTCGGGTGCATGATAGACATTACTCGAATTCGGGCACCCGAAGCAATATTTATACTGGAATACGGGCTGGAAGACGGTGTCGGGTAAACAAAAGGAAATCTGAATACGGGCGTACTCGACTCCGTTCGTTTTGGCATTTGTATTCGGGCTAACGACCAAGTGTAGTCGCGTCATTAAGAAAGGCAACCAAACTCACATGGGTAGTTTTTCTTTTTTTTCGCATATCATTTTGACGACCTCCGTGGTCGGGTGGTTTGTTCGCCGGGTTTCATGATGTCGCCGACTCGAGAGGTCCCGGATTGGAATCCCGGTGGGGGCAGATGTTTATGTGATTCATCACACTCTTATTCATACGAGCATTTGTACTCCAGTCATGGATGTTTAATATGTATTTTTATAAAAATATACTTATATATGTACTGTAGATGTATTCTATCCGTTACCCTAGTATCCCATAACACAAGCCTTACAGCGCTTACTTTGGGGCTAGGCTAATTGGTGCGAGTGTTGGAAATATTGATTATATAGACACAGCTAGTTGGGCAATAAAGCTTTGCAGCAGCTAGAAAGCGCCCTGTCATCGCTCGAGCGCACCTGCGATTCGTGGACATGTCGCACGGCGCTCTCCTGCGTCTACATTGAAGCGTTGTGTTCTGAACACCTTATAAAGCCCGTCGATTGGGAATTTTAACAATAATTGTATACCAAAAGTTAACTTTGTACAATAGGGATGATGACGGGATAAATTAAAATAAAAACGCTGTTTATTCCTTCAGTTACATTATCAAAAAAATGGACACGGATTTATCTTCAGTCAATCAAACCAAAATATGTCAAAGTTTTGGAGCTCATCATCCCTATTCTATAGAATCAAACTCTCACACCAGTCTCAAAAGTTTTATTTCTTTTCGCATATCATTCTGTGTAACATCCCGATGCAGACGCAGTTGGTTGGGCAATAAAGCGGTGCTGCAGCTAGAAAGCGCTCAGTCAGCGCTCGAGCGGATCTGCGTCAAAATTTTCGCATCTGTAACAACCCTGTTCTGAAAACCTTAAAGAGCCCGTCGATTAGGAATTTTAACAATAATTGTATACCAGATGACAACCTTCTATGCCACGGAATTTTACTCTCACTTGGCCGGTTTGTTTTTGATGTATAACATCTTTCCTCTCGCTTTCCTGCAACTTGTAGGAGTGATTTCGTGAAATGGGACGGAAGTGTATAACAGGAACTCGCGAAGGCGCGCGCTATTTGATTTTAGAACATAATGTTCAAATGGCTTATTCCTTTTGTAGTAGGTTTTACCTATTTCTTTTTTTACTAATATAAGGTGAGGTTTCAAATGTTACACATCATACGACTACTGTAAGGCTCGCTCGTTTTTTTTTATTTCGGATATGTCACGTTATCTCTGTGTAATATTTCGTTGCAGACACAGCTGGTTAGGCAATAAGGCGGTGCAGCAGCTAGAAAGCGCTCTGTCAGCGCTCGAGCGGACCTGCGATACGTGGACGCGTCGCGCGGCGTTGTCCTGCGTCGACATTGAATCGTTGTGTTCTGAACATCTTAAAGAGCCCGCCGATTGGGAAGCTAACTTTAAAGCCTGTAAAGCCTACGGACAAGCAGTAGCGAAGATGACATTGTGAGTTATAATCTAGACCACTTTAAACTTTTCATATGTCGTCTGTATATTGTAGGATTCCATAACCAATGAACGATCATGCAGGACTTATCAATATCGCCGTTTCTAATCTCTCAAATTAGAATTGCTTAAGGCAATTTTTTTTAAAAAAAATTAAACCGGAATGATTGAATGATGCCATATAGGCATATGTTTGTTCCAATTTCGAGTACGTAACGCATTTACAAAGAGGTTACGATAATCCTACTATTAAACTTGAATTTTGATTGCAAGTTTTATCTTTCCCAATGATTTGTTCCAGTGAGGATGAAAAAATAGAATGGATAACTGTAGGTACGGTCTCATTAAGACGTGAATTCGAAGCGCAAACGCGTAATCTATGGGCTTGTCTGATGACGTCGCTACAAAACAGTTGCAGAGCCGATGCTCTTGAGGTAGATGCCTTCATTGCTAGCGCCAGCGTCATGCTCGAGAACAAATCTTTGCCTAAGAACGCGAAAGACTTGGCCGAAATCAGCGCTAAACAACAAACGCTGCAGAAGAATATGCCTGAAGTAAGCAAATAAATCCTGCACTACACATATTGATCACTGTTAAATCGATTTGTTACCATATAGCTGAAGTATTATGTATCACTACATAGTATAAAGCAAAGACGCTTCCCGCTGTCTGTCCCTATGTCCCTATGTATGCTTAGATGTTTAAAACTACGCGGATTTTGATGCGGTTTTTTTTAAATAGATAGAGAGATTAAAAAGGAATGTTTACATGTATAATACATGCATAATATAGTAGAGAAACACTGATAATTTTAGAGGTTTTTAATGTAAGGTCTTAAATAAAGACATTTTTTGCGCTTGCATTGCAAACGCTGGCTCTACGAGATAGATCAACATAATGTACTACAGTATTGTACACCTTAAAAAGGTCTACAACAAAGTCCGCGATGGTATATGTCTATCTCTTAGGGATAACCCACAATAACCATTTTTTATTCTATACTTTTTACGAGAAAAAATAGCTTATTTTCGAAGCGATTTTCAGCAATATAACATTCATCCTGAATCAATTTAGTACACAATTACAATTTGGCCCTTTAAATCATGTAATTAAAATGAATATTTTCGAAGATATTACAGATTTTAAAATGCAGGGACATAGCGGTTCCGACGCTACCGGGCGGGTGGCCTGGCGGCGCGTGCCTATTGTAATTAGGTAAAAGAAGAATGTCTATACATGCCTGAGAACAAAAACTATAGTCTACACTTCAGCTCTACACCGAAGCGAAGCGAGGGCGGGCCACTAGTTATATAATAATAAAATAATCGCGGAACGCACTGCTTTTCAAATAATAATTATAATATATCATTATCTATAGATGGAGAAAACTGTGGAAAATCTGAAACGAAAAAGTCACATGCTTCACACATGGGGTGGGGACTCTACGACTGAGGGGGTTATAAAAGAATGGCAAAAGATACGAGACATGATGCTGGGTCAGCAACAAATGTTTGAGCATCAGGTGCATACAATTTTTTTAATTCAATCAACATATCTACTTGATAAATCTTTTACGACATAATTAATATTTTAATCTTTAGGCTGACATTGTAAAATCGACCTTAAGTGGTGAATGGGATAACTTAAACTCGAGCGTAGAGGCATGGGCTTCGAGGTGGAGCCAAAATAAAGGGCGTCTGGAAGAGACGCACGGAGTCCTATTTCCGGAGATGGCCGATAGATGTCGCTCTGTGTTTGATGCGCAAGCGCAATGGGAAAAGTTTGTAGTAGATCGCGATGAATTAGTGTATGTTTCGTTTTATTTTATTTTTATTAATATTCAAATGTATTTTTACATCATTCAAATTAGAGACACCCAGTTACACAAGAGACACAGACACACTCTGTTAAATAAATAATAGGACATAAACTTATACTTAACATAATACTCTTTTTGCATCGGGATTTAAAAGTAGTAAAATATAATACATATTTATGATATTTCTGTGGTAATTGTTTTATTTCGTCTGATATTATAAATATTACTTGTACTACAATTCAGAAGAAATGTTTTCTTGTATAATTGTTTAATTAAAAATAATCAATGAATAGACAATTCTATAGATAACAAGAAAGATAGTATAAACTATATATATAGTATAGATTGCATGCGTAGACACTCTTAAACAGATAAATTACTTTCAAGTACTAAGTACTATTGCTAATGTGATTAATAATAATGTTCCAAGTGACATTTATTTATTAGAAAAGAATGTGTGAAGTTCAATTTGGATTTGCAACCATCCGATGTGTGGACGGAAGCTGAAAAGCTCATGGACGAATACACAAATATTTGGACTCCCTTGAAAAACTACAACGAAGGTAAGAACCTGATGACATTCCCATGGCGTATAGTGAGATAAAGGAATATTACCTTAATATATTATTTTTAATTGGTTAGTGCTAATTACCATTTGCGTTAAACTTCTGCTCCGAAAGGCTTGAGTTTAAATCTTGGTAGTAGCATTTATTTCTGTGATGAGCGCAAATATTTATTTCCGTTAATATTAATTTAAGTTATCAGTGTTCAAAGCTCTGCTCCTATCTCCCAAGGGACAAAATAGTTGATTTGCGATCAAGTAATAATAATAATAATAAATATTTCCAACACTCACACCAATTAGCCTAGCCCCAAAGTAAGCACTATAAGGCTTGTGTTATGGGATACTAGGGTAACGGATAGAATACATATACTTTACATATATAATTATATTTATATAGATATACATATTAAACATCCATGACTGGAGTACAAATGCTAGTATTCATCACACAAACATCTGCCCCCACCGGGATTCGAACCCGGGACCTCTCGAGTCGGCGACACCATGAAACCCGGCGTACAAACCACTCGGCCACGGAGGTCGTCGTCGTCGGAGTATTTTTTTAACCTATTGTATATTAAATCTGTGGTCTTATTTTAGAATACGAATCCATATGTGGACAAGACTGGTTATTATTTCAAAAGAAATTACACCTTCTCGATGAGTTTGTATCCAAATGGACAGCCAATTTGGAACCGTTTACTGCAGTCACACTGTACTTAAAGCAAGAACTGGATAAATACTTGGTAAGCTATTATAGCAATTATATCGTCCTTTAAACCAAAATCCAAGTGCTCGGATTCGTTTAATTTAGGCCATAAATTGTCAACATAATTGAAATCATCAGAATGTTACTGTTTAGCGAAAACTTAGTTTTGTGTTTTATATCGTCCTTTAAACCAAAATCCAAAATAATTTAAGCCATAAACTGTCAACGTAATTGAAAATTTCTGTGTATATCATCAACATGTGAATTTTAAGTACTATTTATTAAGTTTAGTAATTCGTATCAAAACTGTATTAAAGCTATAAAAGATGTGCAGTTTTAGCAGATTGTGGTAATCACCTTTAGACGTATTTTTTGCTCGATCTCGATATTTTGAAAAGTTTCTTACAATAATTCCGATTGTGAACAAGCAACCAAACCTTTTATCTTGTTTTAGCTCCATTACTTATTAAACATAGTTGATATTAACTAGAACTCAGTAGAATCACTGTTATGAACTAGATTTTTTTTCTAATTATTTACCTTCCAGGGTTAAAATAAAAATAATAATTTTATGATTGTGTCCAGGACTTGACAACTATGTTGAAATATTTGCGCGGAACGGACTTCACCGAAAAGCACTGGCGAGAAGTTTCTAATCTCCTTGAAATGGAATATAAGAAGCCGGACACATTGCAAGTGAAGGACCTCCTTTTTGTGGCTAGTAATATCAAAAAGCAGATCAAACTGTTGCAGGTACATCATTTCAATGTTGTTGCACTCCGTATATGACATTGTTTTTTATTTCTTATATTTCCACGCTTATCAACCGTCGATCAAACGCTTTCAAAAAGATTTTAAGGGCCGATGTAAAAGATTTATGCATTTATTGACGTATCGGATTATTTCAGGCACTGTGTCACTAGTTTAAGATGTTGGTCGTCTTATAAATTAAAATTGACGCTATAAACCCATTTGAATATATGAACATTTATCAACAAAGTGATAGGATAATGATATTTTTTTTTGCCCTGGCGAATAATAATGTACATGTTTATATTATAATACTAAATAAAACAAGTTTCAACGGTATTGATGCACTGATTTATTTATTTATTATACTAGTTTAAAAATACCTTTTCTTTAGCTGTTTTGCGTGGGGAATGCAATATCAGACCTCTTTTATTGATTTAATCGTAATTTCTGTATAAAAGCTATTTAATGTTTTTAGAAAATATGCACAGCGGCATCTAACGAAGCAGCCATAAGAAATGCGCTCAATGAACTCGAACTATGGTTTGCGGGCGCTCGTCTAAACATCACGTATTACAACGACAAAGCCAAGCGCCCTATACCTATCGTTAAAGACTTTAAGGATATACTTAGCAAGGTAAGCAAAGGACATTAGGCAAAAAAATGTATGGACGCTGCACCCTAGTTAGCCACGTATTAAACTGCATTTGTTTTTAAAGGTATTATAGTCATGTTCATCTGTGCCAAAGCGCATCAAATTCTATCCCGGGAGTCTTAATTTATTTTAAGTTAAATAGGTACAAGTACTATAACGAACGAACAACGGAATTAATTTCGTTAGTTAGTTCGAAACTACATAGGGGGCTCAGGTATTATGGCAATACTTCACAAGGTTATGTTATTCTGCCGCACTAGAGTAAATCCAAAAAACCTCGCATGGGTTGGGGTTTTTTCAAACATTCTGTTCGATATAGTAAATTGTCTTTTTTGTAAAGCGGAGCGTCCACAAATCACACAAACTCGTCCACGCTTACGAGAAAACATGATTCCAGGAGGCCTACTCTATTTCGACGAAAAACGAAATTTCGGTCGAAATTTCGCACGTTTCTTACTCTTTTTCTTTTTCATTTCAAAAATTCGTTCGTCCGAAAATAGTTTGACAGTTAAATTCTCCAAGCCTAATCTAATTCACAATACTTTCGAATGAAAAGTTGAATTTGACATATAATTGTTCGAAATACTTGTTTATATGTATGATTTACCTGATTCCACTAACCAAAAAACAGTTTTATTTGCGTATGACGTCTCCATACTAGTCACAACAAGTAAACAACAAAAATTCGAGCAACATATACATGACACAAAAACAACTCTAAAGCAAATATTAGAGTGGCTTGATAAGAATCATTTAAAAATTAACCTGACCAAAATGAATATATTAAAAATAATCTAGAAAATAAACCTATAATTATTGATTTCAACGGAGAAATCCTATCAAGCCCCAATAAGGTAACATTCTTAGGCCTTGAAATAAACTCCAAGCTGAACTGGAAAGAACATACGGACAAAGTTTGTGATAAGATCAACAGATTTGCATTCGCACTGTACAAATTGACAAGGGTGGCAAATAGGAGTACGGCCATTACAGCGTATTATGCATATGTTCAGTCAGTACTCAGATATGGCTTGTTAATACGGGGAAATGCCGCAGATATTAGCAAAGTTTTTATTGCTCAAAAAAGATGCATAAGAGCACTATGTGGCATCATACCAGACATATCATGTAAACCGTATTTCCAAAACTTAAAAATTATGACTCTTACTGGTCTTTATGTGCAGAAAATTGCGAAGTTTGTTAGAAGCAACGGTCATTTGTTCTTACAATCAAAACAAGTGACTACCAGAAGTCTGAGATATCCCCACAAACTTGTTCTTGACACAAATCCAAAGACCAAGCGTTTCTTAAAAAATAGTTACGCAATTTGTAATATAATATACAATAAAATACCACATGACATAAAAAAACTCCCATTTGACATGTTTCTCAAATCATTACGAAAATGGCTACTGGAAAAAGTTTTCTATTCAATTGACGAATATTTAAATTATAAATGACATACATAATATTATTCTCATTAAATGAATTGATTAGTTTTGATTATTATCCTATTGAATATAAAGGTATTGCTATTAGTGATTATTATCCTATTGAATATAATGTATACAATTTTTTTTCTATCTTATTACGGATTTATTAATGAAATTGTATTTTTATTTTGTTATTCTTTTGCATGCTATAATCATATGGCTAAATAGGCTTAAAGCTACCTTTATATCTTTGTTAACATGAACATTTCAATGTACCCACCCTATTTAATGGCAAATAAAAAATTATAATTTGAAATTTTAACCTCAAATTGACGATATGAAAAGTGTTACCTTTTCTTTTTCGTTTTGGGATTTTTATTTGAATTAAGTCTAAAATGCTTGTTAGAGTATTTTTCATCTAGGCTGCTTAGCTCGAGGAACATTTTATAGCATGTAAAATTAACAAAGAAACGAAATTCAAAATAAATATTATACTACAAATTTATGTTGACATATAATCAATTGTATCAACTCTAAAAATTAGTCGGCTAACACTGTCAAAAAAGGTTCTTTCAATGTCATCAAAAATGTTGTCATCAAGTAACATTGTTTCCAAGTAAAAAACGTTATTTAAAAAGTTAACATAAAAAGAACTCACAAACATGACTCATTCAATTCGTTCACGAAAATTGTTTGTGATTCCGAACTTTATATGCGTGTGCGAAAATGAAATAGAGTAGAGTCACTGGCGAAATTTCGTTTGAAATTCGTTCGTTAACGAAATTTCGTTTCGGAGAAAGGGAGTAGAGCTCCAGTTCATCCATACTAATTGACAAAACCTATAATCGTGTTCCAATGTCCAAAGCGTGTTAGATAAAATCAATCAAGTCACAGGGAGCTCACAATCACAACGAAGTAAGACGAGTCGACTATTTGCAACTGCAAGTCCTTCAATCCCCGTAAACCGTTTTGAGCTGGCTCAGTAAGTGCAAGCGCAGTATGGTCATATATATAGATCATAGATCTATCGATTCATACTAATTATATTGTTGGCGGAGCTGGGTGTGTTTTGCCCATTGTCCTTTGGTCTCTTAAACAAAAACTGTTAAGGGAGATCCATCTCACTCATTTTTTTTATTGCCGTCGTTGCAAGGAAGATGATGTTGATTGGTGTCCGTCTCACGGATATCAGCAATGCCAATGACACAGCCATATCGCGCCTTTCTTGGAACGCTCATTGTCTTGTTTGAAGGCAAACTATTATTAAAGCGCTGAGGAGATACTGTGGAGGGGGTCTTATCACATACCTTTATTGTCTTTGGTTATAAGATCAAGCTTAAATTTCACCTCTTAAGGCTATAATATAGAGAAGTCATTGAACATTTAAGCTAGACTTAAGTTGCGACGGTCACTTTCTTTGCAATAAAAATAAATGAGACAACACGTGACTTAGTAAAGCATCAATTAATTTGACGTTTCTGACTACGGTCTTTTAATATTTGTTTTTAGAACAGTAATTTTTATCCGTGTTTCAATACAAAACTTTTAATTTTGGCTTGTAATCTTTAATTTATTTAAGATCGGCTCGAAATGAAATAAATTAAGAACGGTCCTCATATAGATCGAGGAGCGGCAATGGGTGGTATCTTCCCTGTCTGGCGGCGGGGACGCGTGCGCGGCGTGGGAGGCGCGGCTGCGGGCTGTACGCGCGTCCATACGGGCCGCTGCGCACGCGCAACGCAGGTCTGTACACATGCCATATATAAGCGTGAAGGAGCAACATGCAGGCCGGCGGGGTGAGGATGGCTGGTGTGGCAGGTAGAACTGCTGTATCAGCTATCTTCGCGACTGGACTTCACCTTCACTTAACATCAGGTGGGGTGGAGTCATTTGTCGGGCCTACATATATATATATATATATATATAATACTACTGGCAGCCGTCCGCGACTTCGTCCGCGTTAACTTTTGTTTTTTCAGAATCCCACAGCAACCCGTCATTTTTTCGGGACAAATTTTCATACAAACTTTCACATTTATAATATAAGTAGGATATACTATCATCGTCCTCACGTAGATCGAGGAGCAGCAATGTGTGATGACCATGGCGTGGGAGGCGTGGCTGCGGGCCGTACGCGCGTGTATACGGGCCGCTGCGCATGCGCAACTCAGGTGTGTGCAAATGCCTTAAATAATCCTTCCTACTTATATTATGCTCCGTACTCATACACGGTATTACTCGATAGTTTTGTGGACCGCACAACTCGCTAAATGCAACCTATGTCTCATTTATTGAAGAGACATCATTTGGCTCGAAAGGTTTGGTGAATAATGACCGTCGCGGGCCATTCGTTAAATTAATGCTGAATTCGTGGAATTGAAAGCCCGCGCCGAAGTTTTTCTCGAAGTGTTTGCTTGATCAAGTAAAATCGTATGTGAGTACCGACCATTTCACTAAAACGGCTGTAGTGATTTGGATGAAGTTTAGTACGCATATAGTTTATGAGCTAAATTAAAAAATAGGATATTTTTTTATCCTGAAATAATGTTAGGTACAAAAATGTAATAAAAATTAATTACATATAACGCAGACGATGTCGCGGGTGGAAGCTAGTTAGTACACTTGTCAACATAAGTATATCAATGTAGATGGAACAGGGAGATTGGGTCATGTTCATGTACGACCTACCACGCTCACTCAGTTGGCTAACGACTACAGATGCATCCGCCACAAATGACTTAACATGCCTTCCGAAACATGAAGAAGACGGGATTATAAGTTTTAGGTACACGAATGCGCAACCACCTGCGCGATTGAGTTCACCAATTCTCTCAGTGTGCTATGTTTATTTACTGTGTCTTATTAAAAATGAAGTGACCCGGCGATCTAAATTAGGTTAGGTTAGGTTATGGGCAATGGGGGAATTTCTAACTAAGGGGTAATTCTTAACTTAAACAAAATATATTACGAATTTGATTTTGTAAAATAATATACTCTTTATTTATTTCCATGTCATTTACGTTGCGGAATGCAATATATCACTTTTTACAATCCTATTATGTACATATGAAGTACTATATATCTATCCATTTACCTGCCCAATTTTGATTTGTCGGCTACTATAATCGAATTTGGCCCCCTAGCATGAGCACCGCGACATATCATAATATGTAACGCGTATTTATCACCCTCAATTGTCAAATTACCATCGAGCTTGACGGTAAGACGAGATAAAAAACGTAATATAATGTAAATTGTGGTACCCGTGCTACGCAGAATCTCTATTGTCTATGGAGAACATTCGAAATTGCCCCATTAAAATGGTTATGATGGTATTTTAGTAAATTGAAGCGTGCGTTAATTTGAAGAACTAGTTTGCTTCTTAATTCACTCTAAAAATTGGTACCGAAATTTACAACGAAAAAAGTAGTACAACGCTTCCTTCTTAGTTATTACTAATTAAAAAAAGCGATCGCCTTTTTTATGATTGTAAACTTCCAAATTCTAATAGTTGTAACATCATTATTATTTCTGTGCATATTGAGTTGTTCACGCTTTTCGGGTAACATCTGTACAACAGATGTGCAGCTCTTTGAATCAACCGCAGCGCGTCTTTTCGGTTTGCTCTTTTGTTTTATTTTTAAATCACTTAATTCACAATATCGCGGCTGTTATTATTTCCTTAGTTGTTTAGGGTAGGATTTTTACTTATATTAAACCCTAGAATGTATCCCAAAGAGAATCTTCCTTGAGAAATAGCTAATGCCTACACTATTTACATCTTATTATTATTTATTTCTAATAATATATAATCAATAGATATTTACTTAAAGAACACATCAAAATACCACTAAAGTTTAAATGAAGCGTCGTAGTTTGCCGCATATCACAATTCCATTAGGAATCTTTAATTTAATACATATAAATGTCACATAACATATTATTTAAAAAAAACATTTTCCCCCTTATTTAGAAAAAGAAGAATAAGCTTGGATTAGTTACTTCATGTTTTGTGCCTGTTCATTGAATGGCAAATGGCAATAGGAAGGGACAAAACACGTCGTCTAAGCTTATTTCTCGTTTATTAATAAGAAGGGTTAAGTTTATATTATTTTCACTGAACGAATTCTCGCAGTTTATTCAAAGATACTCAATATCGACTGTAGTCACAGCAATATACCACCACTTAACACAAACGAAATAAGGCATAGCATTAAACATTCAATTTATTTATTTTTAAATCGTTCTTCAGGTATCAACACTTAACTTAACTTAACTTTAACTTCTTATCTGCATAGGGATTCCCCGTTTAATTATCATAGAAACTGAGAAGAACATTATGCTACTTAGCAAGTAGTTATCCATATTTAAGCGTAATATGATCATCCGAGTGGAAAGGCCATAGCATTCTTCTATGCCAGTGTTTGTATTGTAAGACAAACTAAAAGGAAAGCACATTTTTATCGAAAAAATCCCGTATTTCCGGGAAATTTATTAAGTGTATACTAGTAACTCAGACCTTCTGAGACTAGTAAGTACTCTGTGTGATCTAACAAACCCAGATTCACACGAAATTCTATTTAGTCCGTCAGTTAGATAATCAAAAAATAATGGACACGTATTTTTTCTTTGGGCAATCAACCAAAAAATGACAAAGTTATAGCGCGTCAAAGTTTGGGAGTAGGAACTCGTGACGTCACTTTTTAGTGAATTTTCACTTAAAAGTGTACCCAAACGTGACGTCATGCGACTTTTCAAATCAATATATCTCTGCAATGTTTATATTATGTGAAAAAAGAAAAAATACGTGTCCAATACTTTTTGATAATCTACCTGATAAACGAAGAAAAAAAATAGTCATCATCCCTTGTGTATAACATAAAAATATTCTGTAAGAGGTCCCTAATGAACAAATATTGTATTTCGTTTATGTTTTATTATTAACCACACCACCATTTTTCTTACTCTTTACATACACACATATTGGAATGAGAAATTAAAATTGAACTTTAAGTAAAAATACATCCAATAACTTAAAGGTAAATATGAATCCGATTATCCGATCTCTAGTTATCACTCATCGTATGTATTTTACATAATAAGAATTGTTATTTATATTTTATTATGTTTTATATTTTGCTGGCACATTACTCTTCTATCTCTGTTAAACTATCCTTCGACTTAAAGGTTGTCTGGAAGAGATCGCTTTCAGCGATAAGACCGCCTTTACCCACCATAATTTACTATCTGTTTTGTAAACCCTTTAATTGTGTATGTGTGAGTAATAAAGTGTTTATCTATCTATCTATCTAAATCTCAACCGACCAATCTATGACGATCTAAATATGATTAAAAACTTACTAAGACTATCAAACTGTGTCCTACTGTCATTATTTGTTTTAGGTTTATAATGAGCAGTTTTTTTTTTACAAAATACACCAGTATAAGCTCATTAGATTACTAAAGTCGGAGGCGGATATAAACTGATAATAGGGGGCAACGACCTGAGATTTAAACATGTCTCACGCTAGCTAAAATTAGGCAACAACCACTAAAGATAAAAGTGTTTTATCGGAAACATAAATATGGTTTTATAAACAACGATTTGATCTAGATTTAACAATATGCTAGGATCAAAATTAACTGGCAATTATTTATAATTTAGAGAAGAACATTATTTCAAAGTAACTATGAACTAAACTAAAGCTTTGTACGTCAACCAAAAGACAAGTTTTAAAACACATCGTTTTTTTGTACTGTACTTGGCGTTTGGTTTCGCCCATTTATTTAGTTCGCTGGACAAAAGAATTCGTCGGCTTGCACAATGGCTATCGGTAACCCTCTTACTGCGATTAAAAAGAGGATTTTCCACTCGAATTTGAGTGTCTGTCTGGGAAAATAACTATGTCACCTTACATTTAAGACCACAGTAAATTAACACGTGGTGGTGTTGTGTTTCTGTTGGTATGTTTATAATGTAGGGGACATTATGACGCGCGACGCTGCACGTGAATGCATATAGTGCATTTTTTGATATAGCTATACAGATCAGCTAGTTATCAGTTATCGATATTCATTATTAAAGTATTTAACTGTTGTTGTTGTGTATTTTTAAATTTTATATATAAATGATTTTTTGTTTATATTTTACTATAAATTCATGCTTAGAATCAACAAATTAGAAAAAAACATGTATTGCTTAGATTAGCTAGTTAGGTAGGTGGTCGCTGGACGGTGTAGGGGGTGGGGGGTAGTCAATTGTGCGTGCACAAGTGAATGCCCTTTTGCGATCATCTGGCGGCAGGCGATCTTCAAGCTCTACGTAGCAGTCCAGCACACTGCTTTCCACTTACTAAATGTCACTTACGCTTCCGATTCCTCCCACACAGGCCGCAAACACCAACACTTCACAGCTAGCAAACGTGCACACAAGCTTTTTTTTTTATGTTATAGGGGGCATACGAGCAGACGGCTCATCTGATGGTAAGTGATCACCGTCGCCCATGGACACTTGCAACACCAGGAGTATCACAGATGCGATGCCGGCCTTTAAGGAAGGAGTACGCTCTTTTAGCATTAGACAGACCCGTAGCATAAGAGTGCAAAGACTCGGTCTACACACGACACGCTATACCAGGTACAGGCGTTTTCCCCGTCCCCCACGACGGCTACGGCTAACTAGAGTCGAGGTCCGAGTCTCAGAGACGGCCTCTAGTTGAGCCGACCCCCTCAGGTTCGAGTGG